CTCCTCTCGATTGTGTGTTTTAAACCTTTCCAGTATAAATAAAAAAAAGTTGTTTATTTCTGTTGCATTATTCTCTAGTTTCCTTTTTTATTTAATTCTCCTGTCCTTCATCGTGCAAAATTCCTCAACTAATTACTTAGGCCTTACGAAAGAAAAGAAACAGAAAAGGGAGGAGAAGAAGCCGCCACCACAAGACCTCACACCCTTGCTGAAGAAACTTCATGTCCGTGAGCTCATGGCCAGAAAAAGGTTGGCAGGCGATAGCAATATTCCTCTAGATATAATGTTGGAGATACTCAAGAAACTCTCGGCGAAGTCTCTATCAAGATTCCGATGCATCTCGTATCAATGGAAACGTATGATCAACGAGTTCATAGTCATAGACTCGATCGTGACTCGATCGTCGACTCAACCACCGCGTGATACCCACTTCATCTTCCACATGCGTTCGTTGTCTAAATCTGAGTGTGAATCTTTTTCCTTGTATGCTTACCCTCATCAAATCATAAACGAAGAAAAACATCTCTACCACGGTGAAATCTTTGGAGAAGGCAAAGACTCTGCTGAAATGTTTCAGTACGTACGCGGCTTGATCGGGATTTGGTCGCATTTTGGTCCGCTCAAAATACACAACCCTACCACAGGGCAATCTGTTGTCCTACCGGAAGCGTCATGCGATTTTCTACTATCTCGGGTACGATCCTTTGGGGAAACAATACAAAGTGTTGGGTCTACCGGACTATATGGGACAGTCTTGTAAAGTTAGAGTATTGACATTGGGGGATACCACAAATGAGTGGAGGAAAATCCAATGCAGCAATATTGGACGTCATTACTATTTACTCCAAGAAGTAGTTTGCATCAACGGGGCAGTCTATTACAGAGCAAGGAGAGAGAATTGGAGTGGTAATATATTAGTGAGATTTGATGTTGGGTCTGAGCAATTTACTCAACTGCAGGTTCCAACAAAATTATCGCCGGACTCGGATCTTGTAAACTACGGAGGGAAGTTAGGATGCATATGCCCAAAGGAAAACGATGTGGATATGTGGGTTATGGAAAATGCCGAGAAACAAGAGTGGTCGAAGATAACATTTGTTGCCATGCTGCAAAAATTACCAAGTAGGAGATTCAGATTTGCGGGTGTCATGTATCTTGGTGGTGAAATCACTAAAGTCTATGAAAATTATCGCATGGAGTGTGCAACACATGTTCATTATTATGGTCCGGAACAAAATAGCTGTAGAAGAGTTGAAATCCAAACTACAACGTCCTTATTAAGAAGAATAAGGCACAGTAATGTTGTTACAATGTGGGCTGTCACGGATAGTGTAGAGAATATCATGGTTTTGTAATGCAAGATTAGGTTAATTTCCAGTATAACTACTATATATTTACTTTGGACTCAAGTTTTGTAATGTGATCACAGTTTGAGGACTCCACAAGCTTCATGGTTTAAGGTCCGGTCAAAGCATTGATTGTATTTTGCTTCCATGTTTTAATTTCTTTTTTGCCATGGAACGAATCACAATTTTTAAAACATAGAATCTCATTTTTTAATGATAAAATGAAATAGAAAGAAAATAATCAATACAACAATAACACTAATGTTTCTCCTAGAGATGACACATCAAAACATTTTGAAGCTTTCTGAAGATGAAACCTCAACAAAAAAATTCACCAATCAAGATATTTTATTAATACAACTCATCTACTTATTTTAATTTTTAAACTTAAATCCATTAAAAATTTAAATACTTTTTTTATTAATCTTTGTTTTATTTTTTACCAAACCCAAGTCCAATTAATTAATAACAGTAAATAAAAAAATATTTATTTTATTTTTTGCCAAACTCAAGCCCAAATAATAAATAACAACAAATAAATAAAAAATCTTTGTTTTTGATGGGCAACACAATTTTCTGTTTTTTATGGATAATGCAATTTCTTGGTTTTCACACGAAATACAATTTCACAGTTTTTACGGAAAAATACAATTTGACGATTTTGACGGAAAAATACAATTTCTCAGTTTTGTTAGAAAAACACGATTTCTTGGTTCGACAAGAAAATAATATTTCTTGGCTTTGGCGGAAAAAAGGAATTTCTCTATTTTTCCAGGAATAGAGAATTTCTTGGTTTCGGTAGGAAAACGTGATTTTCAGATTTGGTAGCAAAACATAATTCTCGGTTATGGCGGATAAGCGAATTCTCGAGAAAATGTGAATTCTTGGTTTTTGTGAGAAAAAAAAAGAAATAATTTTGACGGAAAAACAAAATATCTTAGTTTTGACGGAAAAATGCTCGGTTTTGATAAGAAATGCAACTTTTCAATTTTGACAAAATACGATTTCTCAGTTTTAATAAGAAATGCAAATTTTCTGCTTTTGACGGATAATACGATTTTTTGGTTTTCACGCGAAAATGTGATTTTTTAGTTTTCGCGGAAAATATGAATTTGATGATTTTGGCGGGAAATGCAATTTTGGTTTGATGGGAAAACACAATTTCTTGATTTTGGCGGGAATAAGCAATTTCTTGGTTTAGATGAGAAATGCAAATTTTCAGTTTTTGACAAATAACGCGATTTTTTTTTGTTTTGATGGAAAATGCAATTTCTTAGTTTTCACGGGAAAACACAATTTCCCGGGAGATAATACACTTTTTGGTTTTTGCGGAAAATTGTAATTTGTTTGTTTTGGTAGGAAAGTGTGATTCTTGGTTTGACGAGAAAATGAATTTTTGGTTTTGGCGGGAATAGAAGATTTCTCGGTTTTTGCAGGAAAATAAATTTTTCGGTTTTGACAGAAAAATACGATTTTTGGGTTTTTGCAAGAAGATGAAATTTTTTGGTATTAGTGAAAAACGTATTTTTCGGTTTTAGCGAAAAAATGAAATTTTAGGTTTTAAGTTTGACGAGATAATAAATTTTTTTGTTTTGGCGAGAATAGGTGCTTTCTCAATTTCATGGAAAAAATGAAGTTTCTTTATTTTGATGGTAAATACGATTTCTAGATTTTTGTAAGAAGATGAAATTTCTCTCAGCTAAATTTCCAAGTTAAAGTATGTTTACAGTAACCAAAATTTAATTATTTAACTTCAACTAAAACGATATTTCAACAGTTTTTATAATTTGGTAGTTTCAAAAACATATATTTATTAATAAATATTTGATAGATAAATAAATTTTATAATTCAAGATAATTATATTAATTAATATTTTTTTAAATGACATTTTGCTTTATATAATTACAAAAGAGGATCAAGTGATAATTTATTAGAGAAAATAAATTACATTTGCCATTAGCATGAAGATACTGAAAAAAATATTGCTTTATTATTACATATATATATATAATTAGTTAGCTAAAAAAAATTAATAGCAAATTATAATTTTGAAAAATAAATCAATTAAGGATATACAATGTTTATTCAAATTAAAAATATATAAATATATAACTGAAGCTAATAAAAAAATATAATACTTATTTATATATAAAAATAAATTTATTATATTAAAAATGTATACAAAATTTAGAAAAATTAACCGCAGCGTACGTAGGTAAATAGCTAGTCAATTAAGAAAAGAAGAAGTGTAACGGAACGAATAGTGTCTTGAAACGCTCAGATTTCATGCTATTTACGTATTAGTCTTCATGTCGTAAAAACCAGCCTTCATTACGCCGTCGTTACTTGGGAGAAACCTCACAGTCACAGGTTCTTTTTGTAAATAGTGATTACAGTAACAAGAAGTAAAAAAATTTGATAGCTTTACAGTAAAGATAAATAAATCCTACCAAGTGTGATAGAAACCGAACTTAATCTCCCAATTGCACAAACTCTCTCTCACTTAATAACTCTTAAATTGAAAATCAAAGAATGAATGAACAGAGAATGTTAATTCAGTTCGGTTTAATAGATGAGACTGAATCTACTTTTGGAACCGATCAATCGCGCAAATCTATTAACTCAAGAATGTTACACCTTAAGAACAGGGTTTAAAGAATCAAGTCACGAATACCTGTTACAACAAGAACGAAGAAGAGATAAAGGAAAATGTTTTAATACTTGACACTTTTATACAAATGCGAGAGACTCTATTTTACTCTTCCTTCTTTTATCTGGTTTTAAACCAAACCAAACCAAACCAAACCAGCCGAGCAAACCGTATTCAACTTATCTGATAGCTATAGATTGAAGCCCAAGTCAACTTGTTAGTTTCAGGATTGACTCGGGTTTAGCGACACAAATGCAGCAATTATTGGGCTTAGAAGATGTCCTGGCCCAAAATTGGGAAAACGCTGGCCCATGAGAAAAACATTCTGCTCCTGGTACATTTTTTGCTCTGCCGGAGAAAAAGTGGGAAACGTCGACGATTAGGGTTAGAACGTTAATCGGGACTTGGTTTCTGTACGGTCGCCATTTTACAATCCTCTGAAAAACAGTTTTTCGAGTGTTATTTTCTTCGACAGACATCGAGGTGGTGTTATGGAGCTTCTAGCAAGGAGTTCTCTATCACGGATGTCCTGCTGCTCTTGATCGTACTAATTCACCGGAATTTGCGATTGGAGTGAAGACGATCCAATAGTTTCAATGGCTTTGATAGCGTCATGGAAGAACATCCGATGCGCAGCAACAATAAGAGAGATCCAAGTATAAGTCCACAACTTGATGACTTTAGCCTTTAATGTTTTCTCTTTTAAACCAATTGGGGGAATACTTGAAACTATTGGATCTCTCTTATTGTTTATCGAATGGTCTTCCATAACGCTATCGAGGCCATTGAAGGTGATAGTTCAATTTATAACTTTCTTCCCTGTTAATCATCATTTGGTATATATTTTTTTCCTTAAAGCATAAACTCTTGAGGTTAACTTGTGCGATGTTTTGTATCTTGTCCATATATGCAACCGCCGGAAGTCTCTGAATTTAGGTGTTTCGGTATGTCCTTGTCTGGAAATGGGGATGATTATTGTCATCTCTGCCTAGTAAGCCCAAAGATGAGGGTGGTCTTGTATTGAACTTAGTGGTATATGCCAAAACTTTGCTACTTGGATCATTAAACTCATCAGCGTTTTAAGATGCCTGTCTTCCCGCTGCGCCTGACTTTTCGCGTGATAGAGAAGTCAAGAAAACACGGTATCACTTATACTGTACTAAATGATTTCTCCAAAGATTCTCCAAGCAGTGATGAAGAAAAGTCAATACTCTGTAGCTGTGAGGTTAGCAATGTCCAAACAAGCTCCCATTGCTCCTCTAGCCTGTGCAGGAATGGACTCCTATGCAAGAGCTTATCCTTTTGCTGTCAAACTTCACTTGCTAAGGGAGGTAGAGGAGTTCCAGGCGCTTCTTGTTGGGTGTTCGTATTTGGTGTTTTCGAAAGCAGTAGCTAACTGGGAGAACCGGCTCAGATCTACTCAGCCATCAGTGTGGACAAGGGAACCTCTCTTCGCTCTCCGAAGGCTTGTCTTTGGTGCCTCTAGGCTTGGAAGCTCAGGCATCTGGTGCACCTAATGTTAGCATGGAGAAGGCAAAACTTCTTTGGGTCACTCAGGATTCGAACAGTGCCATTCTAGAGCTACAGAAGTCTCTCCTGACTATGCCTAAGAGAGTTGATTACTCTACAGAAGTCTCTCCTGACTATGGCTGTTAACACTATGGTTTGACTTCGCTACATTCTACCAAATGAGTGGTTCAGCAAAAAAACAGGAATTGGAAAGCACTCATAAGAAGGTGGTGGTGATTATGGACTCTTTCTTCTTCTTTTTTTTATAGCTCTTCGGTATATAATGCTTCTCCTATCTAAATATATTTTACTCTTTTGACAGATAGCGAATTTGATGAGGAGCCGTTTAAAGAATCTGCCAACCTATAAATGGTTAACTGTGTTTGCTTCAGTTGGTTTCTAGAGTCTGTCACAAGAACGAGGAAACAGTACGGATTGTTAAAGACATCATCACTTCTGTTCTACTTCAATTTCCTCAGCAAGGGCTCTCGGTCATGGCAGGTGTTTCAAAATCGAATGTTCCTGCTAGTATGGAGGCAGCTGCAGAAATCTTACAAGCTGCACGAAACCAAAGTGGCAGAGTCCATCTGTTCCTTCAGTTTGCTAGTTTGACTGATGATTTCAGTAAACTGTGCTTCCTTGACGGAAACGAACCAAAGTTGGCTTCTAGAATCTGTCACAGGAAACAGTACAGATTGTTAAAGACATCATCAGTTCTGTTATACGCCTGAGTTGTGCCATTCAGATTGACCCAGGTGCAAAAAGTGTTTGTGTGTGTTTCAGTTTTTTATTCCTTTGCTAAACCACAGAACATGGTCGATGGTTTGGGTATCAGTGGATATGAGAGCATCTTCACTCTCACAGTGTTGAGGACACATAGAGAGTCATGCATGAGCATTTTGGATACAATCATCTACGATCCTTCTGTGGAGTGGCTTAGGTTTTGCATAATTTTCCGTTGCTTCTCTTAAACGATTATCTCTTAAATGATGAGAATGTGCAAAACGGAAAATGATTGAACCCTAACACACCGAAAATGATTGAACCCTAACACGCTCGATATTCTACAAAACTGGATACTTGGGCAATGCTATTTTCATACACTCATAAACCTCTTCGAAAGAAATGCTTCTGCTTTAAAAACATTCTGTCTCGTTGTTTTAAAAAAATTAGCATGTGAATATGAAACCTAAAATATTATTAGTATAGGGGTTGACTTGTGTGTGGTTTAGCGAGAAAAGAAAGAAATTAAAAATCAACACAAAATCAAATTAACATGTTTTGGTTTTTGCCTTTGGGAAGTCTTGTTCCCCAAGTTTCGTTGTCCTCAAAAAATTAAGATTATGTTTCCTTTTCTTTTAAAAAGGAAGAAAAGGGAATAAATCTCTTTCCTATTTACATATTTATTTTTCTAAAATAGTTTTATATAAAAAGGTAATATACGTCAGTGCAACTCTTAATAACACCTGTCAAAATCGAAATCCTCTCCAAGCAACTCTAACATAAAAAAAATTCTTAATTCTGGACTCGCTTGTTCCTATTTAAACTTCGATTGGGTTGAAAGATTTTCCTCAGATTTTAATAAACTCAGAACTTTCAGTTCATCTCTTCCTTAGTTATCGACATTCTACTGAATCAACAAATTCTCAAGTCCCCTTTGAAGAGTTTATTGATTTCAAACTTAGTTTCAGCAAGAAAAAAAGATGGATCAGTCGCGGAACAAAGGTTTGGCTGAACAAGATCTAAGCAAACTAGATGTTACTTTGCTTCATCCTCTTTCTCCTGAAGTCATCTCTCGTCAAGCAACCATTAACATAGGTAATTATTAAGATTCTTCATATATATACTAGTTTTTATAGTTTCAGTCTGTTTATAATAATTTGATAAAACTGAAAATAAAAATTTATATAAATCTCAGGAACAATTGGACATGTCGCACATGGAAAGTCGACTGTTGTAAAAGCTATTTCTGGTGTGCAGGTAATATATTATTTTTTTGACGTTAATATCTGAGCATATGTTTAAAGAACCCTATTTTGTCACTAGACGGTATATATGATTTATAGATTTTTCTGCGTTTGTGTAGACTGTCAAATTCAAAAGTGAACTGGAGCGTAACATTACCATTAAACTTGGATATGCAAACGCCAAGATTTACAAATGTGAGGATGACAAGTGCCCTAGACCAATGTGCTACAAGTGAGTAATTCTTTCTTGCTTTTCATCTTCTTCTTTTCTATATAATAATTAAGGTTTTGTGTAATATGTATGTAACAACTTATTTGTTAATTATAGGTCTTACGGTAGTGGAAAAGAGGACAATCCAAGTTGTGATGTCTCTGGACATGAGAATTCAAGGATGAAACTAGTGAGGCATGTTTCATTTGTGGATTGTCCGGTATGATGATAATAAATTCTTATGCTTTTCAAATTATGGTCTATGTTAATCTATATGTTAAAAGAGCTTTTGTGTTTCATTAGGGACATGATATTCTAATGGCGACAATGCTCAATGGAGCAGCGATTATGGATGGTGCTTTACTTTTGATTGCTGCTAATGAGCCATGTCCGCAACCACAAACAGCTGAACATCTTGCTTCTGTTGATTTGATGAATCTTAAGGATATCATAATCCTTCAAAACAAGGTTGATCTCGTTCAAGAAAGCGCTGCCATCAATCATCACGACTCAATCAAACGCTTTATAAAGGTTTGATTGATTTTTGTTTCCCCTTGATTTAAGAAATTTTTTGTTGCATATACATGATGATCAGATAATAAGAATTTTGTGGTATTTACAGAACACAAATGCGGAAGGTGCTCCGATAGTTCCTGTCTCGGGACAGATGAAATACAACATTGATGTTGTGTGTGAGTATATCGTCAAGAAGATTCCAATCCCTAAGAGAGATTTTGTTTCGCCACCAAAGATGATATTGGTTCGTTCTTTTGATGTTAACAAGCCTGGCGTTGAGGCTGATGGTGTGAATGGTGGAGTCGCAGGTGGAAGCATCCTCCAGGAATATTTCATATCTCTCCATGTCTCTTTGTGTACCTTGCAGTCCAAGAAATCGTTGTAAATTGTTTTGTTTTGGGGATTTGTAGGGTGTTTTGAAAGTGAACCAGTTGATTGAAATTAGACCTGGAATCGTTGGGAAAGATGAGAATGGAAACACAACATGCACACCAATTTACTCGCGTGTAACCTCTCTTTACGCGGAAAAGAACGAGCTTGAGTTTGCTGTACCGGGAGGTTTAATCGGGGTCGGAACAACAATGGACCCTGCTCTTACCCGTGGGGATAGATTGGTCGGTCAAGTCCTCGGTGAAATAGGTACGCTTCCTGACGTGTTTGTTGAGATCGAGGTGAGTTTCGTGCTTCTCACGCGACTGATTGGAGTGAGCACAAAGGGAACAGAGGAGAAAACGAGAGTGTCGAAGCTAAGCAAAGGAGAGACGTTGATGGTGAACATTGGTTCCATGTCAACGGGAGCCAAAGTTATTGGAGTGAGTAAAGGTAGGTTGAGGATGCAACTGACCAGACCGGTTTGCACCAGCACAGGAGAGAAGGTGGCTCTAAGCCGTCGTGTCGAAAACCATTGGCGTTTGATCGGTCAGGGTCAGATTATGGCTGGAACCACCATTCCCATTGCTCCTCCTCCTCAATTTCTCCCATGATTCGTTAACATTCCTTGCGATATACAATTTGCTCACCAAAAATACAATTTTGAAGTTAATAAAGATACTGAGATTTTATATTTCTATTTAAATTTCCATAGAATGTGATCTTTCTTGTATGCCTAAAGAAAGGGTCTTTAAGAATCAAATCCTTACAAGAAAGCAACTGAATCAAGAAACGCATGAATGATGATTGTGATCAAATTCTTAAATCTTGCAAGCCATTCTTCACTTCCGGCTTCAGCTTCCATTGCAAAACATTGTTTAAGCTTCTCACTTTCATTGGCCTATTGGTGTTTTCCCTTTATCCAATACTCTGCCGTTTTGAGATGTTGTTGTCTCTAATGTTGCTCCAATATCAATCACTTCTGCTTCAGCTTTGATCGTTTTAGATGGTTTCATCACAGAGTTGAACTGCATCTCCGCCAAAAGCTCAGGCTTACCTCTCACAAATAGCTTATTACCGAATTCCCAAAGCCCATCAGACCTTTTATTTCTTCAAAACCCTACCAACATATACATATTCAAGAAACTGCACACTCGAAGTTAAATCTTTTGCAAATCACAAAACTTACATTACACTTGAGCTCGGAGATAAACTCTGTGAACGTGTCGCTATAGAATCTACAAATCATCTTTCTGCGAACTAGCTCGTCCTGATTCCAAATGACGAAACTGTTGTTGTGTTTGCTCCATGAGATGATTGAATCCGTTGAAGGATCTTCCACTAGCTTGTACATACGCTGGTGGAATACGTGATACGACTTTGGGTACTTGCTAAAATCCATCCCTAAAAACAAATCAGTATATGCAACCAAAGTACATCAAAGAGAAAACGAAGCAACCAAACCAGTTCTATAATCCGTTTGTTACCTCAATACGAAAACTAGGAAACTTGTAGAAGAAAAACAAAAGAGATGAAGAGAAACTATATCTCTTCGTGGGGTTTCCACGGTGAAGAATATGCTAGCGTTTGATTTCTAGGGACCTGGACGAGTGTTGGGCTTTTTCACTTGTTTTCTCATTTGGGCTTGGGCTTTACAAAAGTGTACCACTAATTGTGTCATGAAAACACGAAAACACGAGATGGAGGAACATGTAGATTTGTAGATTTGCTCGAACACCACTTCACCTTCACACCTTCGAAAAACTCTTCAACTTCCTCGTGGTCGTCCATACTAAGCACCAACGATTTGCTGCTTCTAGACTCGTTGGCTTTCATTCTCTGAGTATGAGCCGTCGAGGTCGCAGATAGGTAATGGCGTATCGAGTCGTAGGCTTTGCTTCTCTGGAGACCTTCTCCGGTGTATTCGTTGAACTTTATCGAGACCCATCCCATCATCTTGTAAACGAATTTCTCGATGTAGGCTTGGAGTTCGCACGGCACAAACTGTGAGTACATTGACCGGAAAAACATAAGACTCGCCATCGCTGTGCCGGCGAATCCCCACATTCCTGGAACCATTGTGTTTGATTCCTTGCTTCCCACGGAAAAGACTCTTCCCTTGCGTTTTCTTATGACTTTTAGGCCATGACGATATATTAACACTATTCCGTATACTTCTTTTTCTTTTATTGGAAAAGTTACAACTTCTATAGAGTTTCTTGTTTCCTCTTGTTGCTAATTAGGTAAGTCTTGTATTATCATGCATCATTTTTTGGTAATAAATATTTGTATGTAAGCATGCGTCCTTATTAATTGGTTATCTTCCTTTTCATAAATTGTGTAGAAAGCTTCTAAACCCACTCTTGCATCCTTAATATGCTAATAGTTAACAATGTTTACAGAAACCCCTCCTATAAGAAGATGAACCAAACATTTGCTTGAAGCTTATACAATATGGAGCAATTTATACATACATAGATGCATCTCTTTTCTAACCATGCTTACCTCATATTTTGGATTTATCTTGAGAAGTTTACGCACACTCTCTTCTGTTTCCATCAAACTTTTTAATTTCTTTCTGAAAAGCATTTTATTAAAACAGAAAAAGAAAACAAAGAGACAGCTGCAATCTATTTTAGTATTTTTTTTTTAAATTGTCCAAGAAACAACGAAGAAGTGGCATCTGAGGCCCACAGGACCAATGACTCCATGACAGAGATCTTCTAATAGAGAGAGTAGAGCTCTTTTTTTTGACATAATAGAGAGTAGAGCTGTGCACTTTTAATTGTTAACATGACTTTTAGCTTACTCTTATCTTCAGAATCATCTTATATAAGATTATGTAAACAAGAATATGAAGGGCTTCATCTATAGAATAAATATGTATCTTTGTTTCTGATTTATATATCCTGTACTACTGTAAGTCTGTAATAAATATGTCTGTTTGTTGCTAAAATTCACATTATATAGTCCTTTGAATCAGCTTAGCATTTGTTTCATGATACTGAGGCATTTACAAGAAATATTCAAAACCTAAAAGTTCATTTTTTGTCGCTAAAAATAAAATGTTCAACATCTCTAGACCAAAGATACTCATGATCATTAACATTCCTTGCTCTACTATAGAACTGCATACAGTTTCACATAGGACCCACTAACTTATTGTTGCATTTTAAATATATTTGAGAAGAATCATACCAAAATAAAACCTTAAACAATAGACTCTATATTCATTCATCACATCTTTGCTTAAATCTTGTAACCATTTCCCTGAGAAACACCGCCGTTTTGCTCTGCTTCATTCTTCTTCTTCACTCTCTTCTTGCTCTGTCTCCTTCTTCTTCCTCTTCTTCTTCTTCTCTTCATCTCGTGTTTTCATGTTACATTGACACAATTAGTGGTACACAGTTAGTCTGTAGATTTGCTGTCTTGAATGTATTTAAAAAAATGTATATTTATTTTCAATTATTGATGTACAATTGACACCAGCAAAAAAGAAAAAAGGAGATTTTCATTAAGACTTAAGAGAACATGTGGTCTAATAACAAAACCAAAGTCATTGCCAAACCGGTATCAAAACCGGGACTAACAACCAGATCAAAAACATCCGAACCGAAACAGATTCCTTTAGTTTTGACTTCTTTTCTTTTGATCTCCACCACTGTCCGGTTCGATGGGACGTGCAAGATTTTGCACGATTTGCATCTGTAAGATCCTTTGATGACGTAAGAGCTCTTCTTATTGAACGGTCCTGAAAATACGTACGCTAAAATGTCGGATTTGGTGTTCAGAACATTCAGCTTTAAGTTCTTCCTCATGTACCAAATTGGGTTCTTTGGCACTTTTGCTTCTCCATTTGTATCCTTTGCTTCATATATTCCCCAAGTTTCTACTAACGTAATTTTCTGAAAAGTATAAAGGAAACTCATTACATACATTATCGTGACTACAACGTTTGAGAGAGAAAAATAAATCAAATTGATTAGATGCTTATTTTCATAAATGAGTCAATCATTTTTATTGAATAAAAATGGATCATCAACTATCTACTCACCTAAAATTTATCTAGTTATACAAAATTATTGAAATATGAATTTTGTTGAAACTTAATACTCTAGTCAGCGTCATTATATGTTGAAATATGATCGTGTGAGATAGACTAATAGTCAAAGAAATTACGCTAAATCAAGATTTGTAGATATATATATTATTCCTAGTGACAATGACGTGGTATACGAAATTCATGCCAAAATAATTGGCCACATGCAGAATACTTCTGTACTTTTGACGTGACCAATTGTGGACGGTGGTATAGTTGGTCCTACTCAATCTTATTTTACTATATAGAAATACATAATATCTTTGTTCACACGTATCTTCATTCTTCAATCGACTTAAAAAGTTTAAACGAAAATCTAGAGTATTTTAAGCAATTCTACATTATAATTTACCAATCTTAACATTGCTTGAAGTTAATAAGATAGATAGAATCTTACCAAAAAATTCACAATTTTTACAACCATTTTTTCTTGTTCTATTTTGTCCTTCTAAAACAACATTTGATTGTTTTTTATGCTATAAATTTCTTTCCACATCAAAAAGAAAAAAAATACAACCTAAATATCTGCTAATCTACAGACTAAAATTTACATTAGTTGATTCACAGCCAGATGACTTGATTCATATGTAGTTGTGAGATCCACATATATTAGTTGATAGTTGATTCTAAACAATCTAATAGAATGTGATATAAGAATCCTGAAGGATGATGAATATAGTACAATGAATCTAAATACCTAAAAATATTCTTATATAATTCTGTTTAATGTATATAATTGGTTTACCTTGGTACGATTCATGAGGAAGACAGCGTTTCCATCTTTATCCATCAGGATGAGTTCTTGGGGTTGGGTTCGGGCATAATGATCGACCCGATAAATCAGATCTCCATTCGAATCTATCACCGTGAATCCTTCGCAACTCACTAGAAGCGATTTTCTCCAGACAGTGAGTGTCGTACACGCGCCTCCTGTCTCTACGGCGGAGATGGTGATTCTGAGCTCCGGAGAGGACGGAGCATCATCACCGTGGACCGACCTCGACTGATGCTTCAAGAAAGGGAACATGATCAGTTTTTGGTGTTCTTGATTTACGATTTCAAGTGTTTAGATCTAATTTATTCTCAACACAAATATGGTAAGGTTAGGTGTACATAAGATATATATAGATAAATATGTGTCTGTGGATTGAGGGAATATATTATTTTTTGATATTATATTGTCTTCTTTATTGCAACTCGCAAGAGATTCTTTACATACATTTAATCTAAAACTCGATGACTATATCAAAGGATGTATTGGTTTGAAAATATTTTGACGTGCAACAGTAATCCCTAGCTATCTATAATGAAAATGTACTTTTCCGTTTAGAATCCCCTGTATATTAAAAAAGAATCATTTTTAAAAAATAATCTTAATTTTGTAAAATATTACAGTGGTGCCATTTTGGTGATGTGTCATCACCAGAATTATTTTCAGCAAAATTATAAAAATCCCCTATATATTAAAAGAGAAGCATTTTTAAAGAGAAACCTTAAATTTATAGAATATTACAATGGTGCCATTTTGCTGATGTGTCACCATCATAGAGCTTCTCAGAATTTTTATAAAAAAAGACTTTTGTTACTAGAATATTTACATGATATGCCATTATGCATTGTTATAACCAAACATATATTATACTTTTATAAACTATCAATCAATATGTTTAAAAAGCTAAACCTACACATCTACTTAAATTTATCCATCGATATATTATGGGCCATACAATTCTATTTACCATTATAATATGATGCAATTTTTATAATGTATTCAACTGTTATAGTTTTGAGAAAAATAATTAAAATATTATGCATTAATCATATTAAAAAAATTAATATAAAAGTCCGTCAATTTTCCAAAAAAATGCAATGAATAAGCCATACAAATATTTTAAAAGTTGAATACATTATAAAATTTTTTACTATTAAGCTATTGTTTAAATTGATCATTTAATGTAAGATCAAGTAACCATACAAATTATTATAACCTAAATGCACTCAAATTATTAGTATCTTTTATATTTGTATCCAACAGAATTATTAATAGGTTATACTAATTTTGTATTTTGATTGTTAAATCTTAACTTAGAGGCTTAGAATAAATCGTTTAAAATATTTGACATTGTTTAAAGTTAAAAATAGAGGTTTATAATAAATCGCATGCATTAACATAGGCATGCATTATTCATGCATTAACTTTTGATTAATAATGCATTAACTTTAAATTATTAATGCATCAATATATAGGAACCAATAAATTAAAAAGGGATCCATATATCGACCAAGTACTCTATATATAAGCATTAAATGATTAATTGCCAAAATTAATAGTTGATTAATAATGTTATTGATGTTAATATGTCTTTCTCAAGCTATGATTATTAGAGTTAATATGTCTTTCCTAACTATTACAAAATAAAAGATACTACTAATTACTATTTAAGAAATAACATATTTGATTGTTCATGTGATAGTTAGGAAAACAATAATATAACCGAGTAGTATCTTAAATATTAACTTCATATCCATAATTGAATCATTCCATTTTGAATGTCTTATATTAAAAATATTTCATGTGCCGTAAATACTTATATCACATATATCATAATGTTAATTGTCTCCCAACTATATATAAGACGTGTGTTGTATGCACTCAAATATCACTTTCTCATTCAACATAATGTTCAAATAGGTTTTCTAGAACTTATTTGAAAATGATCTGAACCTTAGTTCAGTATTTTATTGCGGTATGTTTTATTGACTGTACGGGGTTTATAACGTAAAGGTTTCAATCGTTTTCTAGGTTTGAATTTTGTATTTTAGTTCTATTTTTTAATAATTGTGTCCTTTATGTTTCATTATTTGTTTCCGAAGCCTCTATTTCTTAATCTTCGGTCTCTTTACATATTGTTTTGAAATATGTTCTTCTCTTTAGTTATTACCTACATATATAGTTTAAGTACATTGTATTATTACAACTTCAAACTATATTCCATTTGATTAACCTTAATATTCATCAGATAATAAAAAACAAAATCTAAGATTCTAAGTCATATACAATGTAATTATTTGTTTATTCATGTGACACCAACGTGGAAGTGAACGTTCGATTGCAACTTATGTTATTCTCTATTTCCTCTTTTGTTTGTAATCCTTTTTTTTAGCTATTATAATTCTTATTTATTTATCCTAAAATAATTTAAATAGATAAAATAATTGTTTATTATAATTATATTAATCAATAACTACTACAAACCTAACCAATACATTGGTACATATTACTAATACATATTTCATAAATAAACAGCTTTCCGGTCAACACTTTTTAATAGCATTTATGTAGCTTTGAATATCGATGCTTTGATAGTATTAACATAATTCTTTTATATTTCCGACTATCGTTAGTTTTAAATTATTTTAAAAGCATTAATTTTATATTTTCTTTCACAAATAAAGTTATTTATATCTATCATTTTTTATATCATTCAAACTTATATTTAAACCCATTAGTCTAAAACAGTGTATATTAATTGGACGTTACAGTGGTTTTATACTAATATAAACAAAAAAAAATTATTATATTATTAATATATTTTACAAACATATTATATAAAACCAAAATTAAAACTAAATATATTATATTATATAATATTAAAAAAATATCAATTAAATAAAAAATATTTCACTCTGCACAAGGCGCAAGTTATTACCTAGTATAGTTTTTAATTTTTTATGTTGGAGTTACTTTAAAAATGGTTGTAAACTTTAATATCGACGAGTGTAACTTTCCTTCACAAATTAAAATTCACGATTAAAAAGAAAACATTAAGTCCTTAACAGATGGGTTTATAATTCATCCAAATGGACGATTTAACATGAAAAAGGTAGTCATCTTCAAAGTTCATACTATATATTACTAGTCATATATACAATTATTTAGACGGTTGGAACCTTTTGATCCAAATAATTAACATCATGGATCGTCTGTTATATTTCATACTTCAATTCTTCCTTTTTTTATACAAATACAATCTAATCGTTATTCGGAGGAAATTCGATAAAATTAAAACTATATATCTTTTTACATGCTATACATACATTTATACTCGTAAAATATACCAAAAAAATATCTTAAGTTATGCCCATAACAAAAAAAAAACAATTAATCTAACGAAGGATTTGTTAACCATGGTATTTTTGTTTGTCAGCCTGGTTAATTAGTAGTTGGACACCATATATACCAAAAGTGGACGATTTCTTTTGTAATAAGTTTGGTGTACGTAAAGTTTTGTTGGTGAAGAATATTACTGCTTTCGGTATATAGAGTTGGAGTATATTCCTGATACATGCTCTTTTGTCAAAGGCATGCATGCGTGGCCAAACCAAATCGGGTAGTGATTTTCAGGAAATCAGATTTGAGTTTCTGGCATATGCATGGGTTTCTGGAATTGATTTGGATCTGACCATAATATTTTATGCATTATTAAAATCTATTACTGTATTAGGTAAGAACTTTTAGTATGCAAGGGTCCTAGATGAAGCCACGTAATGGATGTGAGGCTCCAAGAATCAATCTCTACTCTTTTTCTTGTCCGCGAATCTTTGCTTTTGAGAGGAAATATCAAAAACAAATATTTCCTTTTTTTTTCTAACAAAATTGGTCATGTAAATGGTTTCTCTTATAATGAAATATAAATAAGATAGAAATTAATTGTATACATGACTAGTTGAATTTCAGTTATATAATAACTGATACACATTCTGAATAACAAATCTTCAGCTGTAGCATATGGATAATGTTTGTGCATGGTAATGAATATTCAAATTGAAATAATTTAATTAGAATATTCATATTGGAAAAGTACATAAATAAGTGAAGCTATCACCATTTTTCAAAAACTGATTTTGTTGATCTTTGGTTTACCCATAACTCCAAAAATCCTTCCAAGTGATGTCGTCGACACAGTGGTGCACGTGTTAGACATGTGTCGCATCTCAATAGTAGAATGGGTCCCACTAAAGAAGTTAGTTCTCGAGGCCAAAGATACAGTAGCTTAATCAACCCCACGTGCGTGAGCTCTCGTGACTAGTTTCTTCTCATCTCTCAGTCTTCAAATTCTGGATATTGTGGTGGCCCGTCAATAATAATTTGGGGTCTTAGAATACTAAATTATCAACAATTGCTTAAAAGCGTTTTTGATCGTTATCAACAATTTACACATAAAATCTTAATATGATAATTTAACACGATTTAAGAAATATTTGATTATATATAAACATCTGCTCCATCTCTATGTTTTTCGCAAATGTAATGTAAATGGTACTCATATAGATCACCATTAGTTTTGCCGTAGAGCAATGGGACCCTCGATTTCAGATCCTTCACCTGAAAATAAGCAAGGAAGAATTCAACAGAAATCTTGTTAGTGTTACACAGGCGGTACACAGAGATTAGGTTTTTATGAAGATTAGGTACACAGAGAATATTGCTTAGGGTTAAATTGCGAAAGATGTGGGGCATAGAGACAGAACCAGTGTGTGTTATGTTGAGGCCAGAACCATCCTCGATAAGTAACGCTTCTCGTCCTTGGTATGGTTGATAGAAGGAGAGATTATGAAGATCACTTGTCATGTGATGAGTTGCTCCACTATCCATGAGCCATGATGCATCTTGTGTGTTTCCCTCCATGGCCAGATTAGCTCGGGGTTGCCAAGGGGATATGAATTGCTGGCAGAGTTGTTGCTTGTTGTTGAAACATGACTGCTGAGCTGTGAGCATTTCTTGGCGCTGTGTCCATAAACTCCACATAGTTGGCACTTCCCTTGATACCCACTTTGATAACCACGTAAGTTCCGGTTATATTTTGAATTGTTGTACTGATTGTTGTTGGAGTTCCGATTCCATTGGTGCCCTGACTTGTGTTGCAGATTGAATGATTGTTGTTAACGCCCTTGATATTTGCTGGTTGCAGCATTGACGGTGATTGGCGCAGAGTTTAGAGACACAGACGAGATAGTCAGGAGTTTTGCCTCTTTGTTGAGAAGCTTCTCATGGACTTCCGTAAGGGAAGGAATTTCATCACGGCCCTCGATTTGATCAACGACGACTTTGTATTCTTCTGGTAAACCTTCAAGGAGGAATTCGATTTGATCCTCAAGCTCGATTGGCTTTCCGAGAAGTGCCAATTGATCAAACCTTGTTGTAAGTCCTTGGACATATTCGTCAATGGTTTTAGTACCTTTGGACCATTGCTTGATCTGAAGCTTGAGTTGTTGTATGTGTCCTCGACTTGGTTTGGCATAGGTTGCTGCAAGAGTTTTCCATATGTCTGCAGCTGTAGTGGAGGTGGAGACAAGAGGCTGCACCGAGACTGAAATGGCTCCGAGGAGTTCGCTGTATATAAGCCGATCCTGGCGTTTCCATAGATTGAAGGCTGGATTTGCTGCTGTAGTGTTGTTGACGGTGACCATGGTAGGAGGTGTTGGGACAGATCCGTCAAGGTGATGGGCTAACTCGTAGCCATCAAGGAGAGCGTGCACTTGAAGGCTCCACATCATGTAGTTTGAGATGGAAAGTTTCGTCATGTTGAACATGTTGACGTTGAGAAGTGCGTTTGGGTGATATCGACGGTGTCGGTGGAAGTCGTCAAGAAACAGAGGGATATGAATAAATCGTGGAGCAGAAAAAAGGAACTAAAACTCAAGAAAAGAAAGAAAAGAAAATTAAGGTATCGTAATCTGTTCTTATACCATATAAATAGTGACTCTCATTATGTATTAATAGAATGAGTAATGTATATATATATGAGTACCGAATACCCTAGGATCATGTAATTACAGAAAGTATATATTATCATATTAATACAGAGGATATGCTGTATCATGTAATATCTCAATATCCTAGATATATCAAACCGCTACGTTTAAAGAGGTGATCTATGTTTGTAATCCATCACACACACTGTATGAGTCTGTCTAATATCAAGAAATAATACATATCTAAAAAAAAGTGGTTATATTTTTGCATACTAGTATTATCTTTAAATTACGTAGTATTACTATCCATCATTGACATCATAATATGACGTACTCATTGGAACAATGATTCAAGCTCAGAAGTAAAGAATAAACAACTGTAATAAAATACCAGTACCTTGAGAGTATATTATAGTAATAAAAAGTGTGTTTATTTACAGTATTGATGAAACTCTAACGGTGAACAAAATGTCAAAATCGAAAGAAAAAAAGATGATGTTTTTAACAATTAAGAAATCAGTAATTATCAACTACATCTCGAGACGTTATCAACAATTACAAAAACAAATCGATCTATAAATTCTGACTATTTATTAGAAATCAGTAAATACTCTCGATACTTATATATATTTCGTAAGTTATTTTAAAAATAAAAAGTATATATTTAGAAAAATATTTCGTTATAGAATTTCTGATTATCTCTTTAGAAGCATATATCGTAGTTGTACACTAATGATTAATAACGAACATTAAATAACAAAAGTAGAAACAACAAAACGAAACAACTTTTATTTTCGACAACTAAAAAAGATTTTTTTTGTTCTCTTATACAAAGCACAATAAATACAAATTATAGTCCCCATATTATTTACACACATATATATTGGAGAAGGAAAGAGAGAGGAAATACAATTGGAGAGAAATTGTTCGTCTGCTCCGCCTAGAAACCAAAGTAAGTTTCCTCATTTTCTGGTTTAACCGGTTGTAAAAACCAAAATGAGGAAACAAGTTCTTTTTGGTATAAAATATGCTGCAATCTTGTAACCACCACAACTAGGAACCGAGGCTAGCTAGTCCACATAATCGGCTGCATTCCCTTTAAGCCTTTTGGGACAAGGTGAGCTTAAGCCTGAGCTTAAGGCAGCTTTCATGCGAGCAGCTTTTCTGTAAGCTTTTCTACGAGCATGTATGCCAGCTATTCTGGCCGACCCTCGTAAGCTGAACAAATTCTGAGTTACCTTAAAACCGTAAATTCTGGCTCTGGTCGATGCTCCTCATTATCACCATCACGATAAAAACTCGGCGTAGGCTTTCCTCCACCTAAAGCTTGTGTACATTGAATTAGTGATTTTACATCCTCAAACGCGGTGTCATCAGGCGGCTCTAGCAGGAGAACAGTGTGATTTCTCGACTGCAAACACTGAAGAACCATGTGCCACTCCTTTTCAGGGCCTTGTTTTGCGATTACCACTAAAGCTTTTGAAGGACTCGATGCTGCACAAGCACTCAAGTGAGTTGTTAGGAACTCACTTTCTGCAAAGTAGTGATCGAACTTAGTTGCGATTCCGGCCTCCCGCAACTCACCGTACCCCCAGAATTCCACTCTCTCACGAAAGCCCATTCTATCAAGAGCCATTTGGATCTTGCAAAATATAGAGTGAAGACGAGCTACATCAGGGACGACTGGGTAGTCCTCCAAGTTCCAGAAGACTGTTGTTGTTTTTTGGTGCGAATCCTTTCGGTGCGCTTGCTTTTCGGAGAGGGTAGGAAAAACGTATTCATCTACTAGCAAGTCTGGCTATTCAAGGCTATCCGGAGTCGGATTTACCAAGAGAACCCCGTAACAGGCGTCACTCAACCCTTGGAGCCTAGAGTAGTAGGTGCCATCTCTGAACTGATTTGAGACTACCGTCACGATTGCTGAAAAAGCCCCGTGCAGAGGAGTGTCCATTGCCCATAAAAGAATGTCGTTCAACATTCTGTTACGCCTCGAGGCCCCTCCGGGAAGAAAGTAGATTCTGGAACCCCACGACTTGTCACGCCGCAGATAGGAAGACCCCTTCTTCTCATCGACATAAGCCCAGACTGATATCTCACCTGTACCGTGCACGCCCCTTGCACGAACAGCTTCGTCGATTCTGCCGTAAATCTCGTCAGGGTCGGAACAATGAGGGAACGGGCAATCCTCCAAGTCCCAGAAGACGGCTAAATTGGCCCCTCGCTAGCATCAGCGTGTAGACTTTTGCTTCCACCAAAATCTCGTCTACATCGAACCAGTGACTCCACCGAATCGAAACCAGGCGGCTCTAGTACGAGAGCAGTGTGATTTCTCGATTGCAAACACTCAAGAATCCTGTGCCACTCAGCTTCTGGGTTTTGTTTCGCGATTACCACTAAATTTGGATATGGTGGTTCATGACCACTCCCTGTAATCATATCCAGAGGCATTGTGAAAGCAGCCGAATTGTCACCCCTGAAGATCAACAACGACAAAAAGAGTGTTATTATGTGTAAAGGAACCTACTTTCAATTAAAAAGAGTGTTATTATGTGTAAAGGAACTCACTTTCGCTTTCTGGGAAGTAGTAGATGATTCCGGCCTTCCGCAAGGCATCTATGTCGTGGCTCCCTGGGTCACCGTACGCCTGGATTGACTTCCTCCCATCAAAGCCCATTCCATAAAGAGCTGATACGATATTACCATGAATACAACCGATATCCGCACCCTCAGGGATTGGGTAGTCCTCCAAGTTCCAGAACACGATGGTAACATCCCAGGAGGTTACTACTTCTTCTTCACAAAAAGCGATCTTACCGGAGAAATCTTCTTCTTCCTCAATCGGAGACTTTCTCGCTAAATCTTCTTCTTCCCCCATCGGAGACTATCTCGCTAAATTAGGGTTAGATCGAATGTGTCTTACCGATGAGAGAGAGAGCCTTTGTAGCTTTTATCGACACAACTTACGCTTTATTTTTTTTTAATTGTTTTTTTGTTAATTTACCTTTTATATTTTATTTTATTTTGAAATATAATTTTCCTTTTTTCTTCTGATAGTTTAAACTTTATTTAATTATATTAACTTATTAAATACTAGTTAGTTTAGATTTTCCGATATTGTTTTCCATACTATTAATACTATTATTTTGTAAAGCATAATTTCCATTTTATTTTTTGTTAGTTAATTTTTTAATTTCCATATTTGTGTTAGTTTAAGTTTGTTGAGAGTTGTGTAATTGTGTTTCTTTAATCATATACTAGGTATATAACTCGCGCTCTGTATGAATAGTTTGGTTTTAATTTTTTTTTAGCTACTATCTTTTAAATGATTAAACCCATAATATATTTATAGAAATTTTCATTTATATAAAAGAATTTAATAAATAAAATGTAATTTTCTCCTAATATTATTTATAAAATTTTAAAATTATTAGGTAAAATAATAACAATGACACCTATCGAATTATCCAACTTTGACATACATATGCATTTGATTTATAAAAAGATTTGCTTGCTAAGATTTTGGTATTGTTTTCTGTTTTCCATAGAATTTCCATAGTTCTTTTTTCTTGAAGGTTTATGTGTTCAAATATTTATTTATTTTTATTGAAAGTCTTATTGATGTTGTGTACCATTGCATATATAATCCATGATTCATGTTGATTCACATTTAGTTTTGTTAGAAAGCTGCAATGATCATGCAAAACTATTTCTTCCTTCTCCACCATGCCTTCCAAGAGTTATAGCTTATATTTTTATTCAGTTTTTAGTGATATCTATTTTTTTACAGTCTAATATTTGATAATTTTTGTTTTTTATCTTGTAAGATCGGTGATGTGGAGTTTTTACATTATTTTTCACTATTTTTTATCTTTTGTGTACAACATGCATGTTTTTATTTGAATATTTTATCTACATACACTAATTTAAGTTTGATTCATAACTATGTCATACTTTATTATTTAAATATAAATTTTAGAATGTTGGTTCAGATATAAGTAGTGGCTATGAATAGAAATCAGATTTTACTACTTGTTAAATACCGAGTGTAAAGTTATTTATATAATATTTTTCTTTGTTAGTTTTTAAATAAAAAACATCAAGTGTATTAATCATTGTATATTCAAAAATATGTTTGGTTTAGAAACTCATGTAAACCTATTGCAACTTTAAATAGTTATTCATTGTTGATACTAATACTTTAGAAATCAGGAAGGAACTTTTTAAACTAATTTCAAATTAATTTTGTATTAATTTCTTTTTGTCTTTTGATAGTATTTTTTTGTTTATTGTAATTTATATAATTTTTGTATGTTTGATATACTTAGGACTTATATTCTTTTTTTTTAATCTCTTTTGTTGTTGATTTTGTATATATGTATCATAGACATCACATTAATTTCTTTTATACAAATGCTTTTTTTGTTAAATTTGTTTTTTTTATATTAATTTTAGTTCTAGTTATAATGCTGATTTGATATGCTCTAACTGTTGAATTTAAATCTTAGATGGATTTTTCTCAAAAGCTTATACACCATCATTTGTTTATTTTAGTTAAATTTTTCAAAAACTTTAGCCCGAATTAGTTTTCTTTTAATAAACTTTTTCTTTTGTTAATTTGCTTCTTTTGATAATGATTTCTAATTTTTTGAAACATAAATTTATGACATGTTGAAAGCTAAAAAAGTTTTTAATAAAAACATGTTTAATTTGTCATCATATCATAATAGCTTTAAAACAGTTTGGTTTTATATCTAAAAACACAATAGGAAATTAAAGTATGGTGAGGTAATGCATGTGAGCGTACTTACCATGTCAAATAGTCAATATAATCAGTAGTTGCTTCAATATTTTTGTCAAAAAAAAACGAGTCGAAAAAGTGGAGTGCAAAAATAATACTTTTACATAATGCAATTTAAAATATGGTGTTAAGGGTTAAATAAATCTTATTATCTAATTTATTTCAGGATTCATCACGTTTCATAAAGAATAGTAAAAAAATAGTAATTATATGTTTGAGATTACAGACCTTAAAATGTTTTTGGGTTCATGATTGTGGTCAGGAACACGATAGGTTTGACAACACTTTCCATTATTTTTTAAAAAAAATTGGAGAAAGAGCAACACGAACAATTGGCCCACTGTTTAGAAAATATAAATGGGTGCTAAGTAAACATAGATTGTATTCCAGATTAGAATATATAAATGAGTTGTTGGGAAAATATGCTTATCTTTTTAATTGCAAGTGAACATTTATTTTATTATGACTTCCACCATTAGTAATATCATTAGCTTAACTGGACAAAGAAAGTTTTCGTCGATGATGATGATCAGTTTTCTAATAGCATAAACACAGTATATGACGTTATTATTATATATTTATATATGTGCAATGCATTAAAAGTTATAAATTTTTGAATCTATGCTATAAGTTTTAACTTTTACGATTAGTTTTTTGGTTAATTTGACTTTTTTTATTATTTTGATTTTTGAATATAATTTTCTTTCCTATTTGTTATTTGAGATTTTTTCATCTATAAAATAAAATTAATGTTTTTTATTTTCTTATCAATTAATTTAGAAGTTAGAATTTTTCTAATCTATATTATAAGTTTGAGTTTTTATTAGTAATAGATTTTTTTGTTAGTTTATCACTTTTGAAAATAAATTTCTAGTTTATTTTGAAGGATACTATTTTTTTGGTTTTTAACATAATTCTCTTTTTTATTTTTAATTAAGCTTTTTTATTTTAATTTTTACATCTATAAAATAAAATTAATATTTTAAATTCTGACGGATGCAATATTTTAGTTTTTTTAACACAATTTTCTTCTCTATTTGTTATTTAAATTTTTTATTTTGATTTTTCCATCTATAAAACGAAATCAATTATTTTTATATTTTCTTGCCAATTAATTTAGAAGTTAGAATTTTTCTATTCTATATTATAAGTTTGAATTTTTGTGATACTGGTTTTTTTGTTAATTTAACTCTTTTGAAAAAAAATTTCTATTTTATTTTTAAGGATACTATTTTTTTGTTTTTTAACATAATTTTCTTTTCTATATGTTACTTAAGTTTTTTTATTTAATTTTTCCATGATTAAAATGAAATTAAGGTTTTAATCATACTTAACATTTTTAATGAAAAATGCTGACGTGGACCAATCATATTGAATTTTTTAATCGTATGTGGACACCCTTAGATGTATTTAGCATCAACTTTTATTAGTAATAGACTAGGTATATAACTTGCGCGTAGCGCGAATCTGTATTAATATTTTGGTTTAATTTTTTTTAGCTATTATCTTTAAAATTATTAAAAATATAATATATTTATAGAAATTTTTATTTATATAAGAGAATTCAATATATAATGTGTAATTTATCATATTTTATTTATAAACTTTAAAAAACTATTAGGTAAAATAATAATAATGACACCTTTCGAATTATCCAACTTTGACGTACGTATACATTTGATTTAGAGAAATATAATCTTGCTAAGATTTTAGTATTATTTCTGTTTTCTATAGAATTTCTATAGTTCTTTGTTCTTGAAGGTTTATGTGTTCAAATATTTAGTTTTTTTTATTGAAAGTCTTAGTGATGTTCTGTGTCACTGCATATATAATCCATGATTCATGTTGATTCGCATTTAATATTGTTAGGAAACTGTAATGATCATGCAAAACCATTTTTTTTTTCTCCATCATGTCTTCCAAGAGTTTTATGTTATATTTTTATTCAGTTTTCATTGTTTTAATTGTTAAATCGAGTTTATGTAGATTTTTTAAATTGATAATTGATAATGGTTACTTTTTTATACATGTACTGTTAATTGTTAATTTTTTATTTAACTTTTAAAATTTTAAACCATATTAATATTTTCTGATTTAATAAATATGTTGATTTGGATCAATCAGTTTGAATTTACTTTTTTATTGGACACAATTTGTTAAATTAACTTTTAATGTTTTAATTATACTTAATAATTTTTGGTTTGATTTACAAGTTGATGTGGACCAATTAAATGAAGTTTTTTCGTCATAATCGTACTTAACATTTTTTTATTTAATGAATATGCTGATGTGGACCAATCAGATCGAGTTTTTTAAACTCATGTGGACACCCTCAATGCACTATGCCATCAACTTTTATATATTATACTAGGTATATAACTTGCGCTATGCGCAAGTCTGTATTAATATTTTGGTTTAAAAATTATATATATTTATAAAAAATTAATTTATATAAGAGAATTTAATATATAATGTGTAATTTATCCTATTTTTATTTATAAATTTAAAAAATTATTAAGTAAAATAATAACAATGATACATATCGAATTATCCAACTTTGACGTATATATACATTTGATTTAGAGAAATATAATCTTGCTAATGTTTTGGTATTATTTTCTGTTTTTCATAGAATTTCTATAGTTCTTTTTTTTTTGAAGGTTTATGTGTTCAAATATTTAGTTTTTTTATTGAAATTCTTATTGATGTTGTGTACAACTGTTTATATAATCCATGATTCATGTTGATTCGCATTTAATTTTGTTAGAAAGCTGTAATGATCATGCAAAACCATTTTTTCTTTCTCCATCATGTCTTCCAAAAATTTTATGTTATATTTCTATTCAGTTTTTATTGTTTTAATCATTGAATCGAGTTGTTGTAGATTTTTTAAAATTGATAATTGATAATGGTTACTTTTTTATACATGTTTTCTTAATTGCTAATTTTTTTTTTAACTTTTAAAATTTTAAACCATATTAACATTTTCTGAATTAATAAATATGTTGATTTGAATCAATCAGATTGAATTTACTTTTTTTGTTTGACATAATTTGTTAAAATAACTTTTAATATTTTAATTATACTTAATAATTTTTGGTTTGATTTAAAAGCTGATGTGAACCCATTAAATCAATATTTCAGTTCTAATCATACTTAACATTTTTTATTTAATGAATATGCTGATGTGGACCAATCAGATCGAGTTTTTTAATCCCATGTGGACGCCTTCAATGCACTATGATTTCAATTTTTATATATTATATTATATATATAACTCGCGCTACGTGCAAGTCTGTATTAATATTTTGGTTTATTTTTTTAGCTATTATCTTTAAAATTATTAAAAATTATATATATTTATAGAAATTTTCATTTATATAAGAATATTTAATATATATTGTGTAATTTATCCTATTTGTATTTATAAATTTTTAAAAATTATTAGGTAAAATAATAACAATGACACCTATCGAATTATCCAACTTTGACGTACATATACATTTGATTTAGAGAAATATAATCTTGCTAAGATTTTGATATTATTTTCTCTTTTCCATATAATTTCTATAGTTCTTTTTTTGAAGGTTTATCTGTTCAAATATTTAGTTTTTATTGAAAGTCTTATTGATGTTGTGTACCATTGTATATATATTCCATGATTCATATTGATTCGCATTTAATTTTGTTAGGAAGCTGTAATGATCATGTAAAACCATTTTTTCCTTCTCCATCATGTCTTCCAAGAGTTTTATGTTATACTTTTATTCAGTTTTCATTGTTTTAATTGTTAAATCGAGTTGTTGTAGATTTTTTAAATTGATAATTGATAATGGTTACTTTTTTATACATATATTGTTAATTGGTACTTTTTTGTTAGCTTTTAAATTTTTAAATCATATTAGCATTTTCTGATTTAATAAATATGTTGATTGGGATCAATCATATTGAATTTTCTTTTTTGTAGGACATAATTTATTAAATTAACTTTTAATGTTTTAATTATACTTAATAATTTTTGATTTGATTTAAAAGCTGATGTGGACCAATTAAATCAAGTTTTCCGTCCTAATCATACTTAACATTATTTAATTTAATGAATATGCTGATGTGGACCAATCAGATTGAGTTTTTTAATCCCATGTGGACACCCTCAATGCACTATGTCATCAACTTTTATATATTACTAGGCTTTTAACTCGCGTTACGCGCGAGTCTGTATTAATAATTTGGTTCAAATTTTTTAGCTAATATCTTTTAAATTATCAAAATTATAATATATTTATAGAAATTTTCTCTTATATAAAAAAATTAAAACATAATATGTAGTATTTCCTATTGTTGTTTATAAAATTATAAATTTTATTAAGTAAACTCATAGTAATGACACCTAACAACTTATCCAACTTCGATGTGCATATATTTGATTTAGAAAATAATTTCCTTACTAAATTTTTTGGTGTTTGTTTTGTATCCTTAGGATTTCTATGGTTCTTTTTTTAAAAGGTTTATATGTTTAAATATTTAGTTTCTTTACTAAATGTCTCACTAATATTGTGTATATATACATATATAATATATGGTATATGTTGATTCAGATTTACTTTTGTTAGTAAACTACACTAATCGTGTAAAGCTACTTTTTGCTTCTCCACCAGATCTTCTATGAATTTTAGGTTATATCTCTATTCAGTTTATAAGATCTGTTTTATTTGCAGTCAATTATTTGCTAATATTTGTTTTTAAACATATAAAATGATGTTGAGACTTCACATTATCACTGTTTTTTTATCTTTTGTGTGTTTATTCATGTCTTGATTTGAGTATTTTATCTTCATATATTCACATTTGAATTTGATTCATAACTTAGTCATATTATATTATTCAAATAAAAATTTAGAGGATGTTGCTCATGTGTTGTTCATGTTGACTAAGTTATAAGCAGTAAATATGTATACAAATCAGACTTTATTACTTATTATATTTTGAATGTAAAGTTACTTGTGTAGTATTTTACTTTGTTAATTTTCCAACCAGACGCAACCAAGGTATTAATCTTTGTAAATTTAAATAATATGTTTGATTTAGAAACTTGTATAACATATTAAAACTTTATATGCTTATTCATAGTCAACACCAATATTTTAGAAATCATGAATGTTTTTGGAACTATATTTCAAACTAATTTTCTTCTTAGATCTTGTTTTTTGTTATTTTAAATATCTTCGATGGTAATTTTATATTTTATTTTAATTATCTAATTTTCTGCAGGTTTGATATACTTAAAACATATATATTTTTAATTAATCTCTTTTGTTATTGATTTTTCAAATAGGTAGTATATATATTAATCTAATATATCTTACATAAATGCTTTTTCTTTGTTAAATTTACTTTTTAAATTAGTTAAAATGCTATTTTGACTTGCTATAACTGGTTATTCTAAATTTTAAATGAACTTCTCTCAAAAGCTTATACCATCATTTGCTTTTTTAGTTAATATTTATTTGGTAGTTAGCCTAAATATCAAGCTAATTTTACTTTATACGACTTTTTCTTTTGATAATTTACCTCTCTTGATATTGATTTTTATTTTATTTTAACACCATTATTTTTAAAATATTGATATTTTAAAAACATAAATTTTTTGTTAGTTAAATATTTTTATATGAATTTTTTAAGTATTTAGTCAGAGATCAAGTCAATATATTTTTAAGTGTTTTTTTAAAATAATATTTTGTAAAACTTAATTCTTGTTTTAGTTTTTTAGTTATTTAATTACTTAATATTGATTTCTTAAATAATTAGCTTAAATATTTATATTATTTTTGTTAGTTAAGTTTTTTTATTATTGTTTAAGTTTTTTATTCTCTTACTTATTCTGTTTATGTTGATTTTGTTAAATAAATAACATAGATATTAAGTTAATATCCTCTTTATTTTAATTTAAATTTCTCGATATGGACTTTCATTTTAATTGTATTGACATGTTGTAAGAAATAATTTATGTTTTAGTTTTTGTTAGTTAAACATTTTTTATATTGCTTTCTTCAGTAATTAGCATAAAGTATCATTTTTGGTTGTTAAGTTTTTTGTGTTAATTTTTTAAATATTTCTTCAAAAATTATAAGTTTTAGATGACTTTCTTTTTTGATAATTTAAGATGAATATTTTTTTGGTAGTATTGATATTTTTAAATAACAATTTTATATGTTTATATGTAAATTTAATCTTAATTTTTTTTCTAAATAAATTACTCATTTAAAATATATATGCTAAATTGTTTTTTAATTTAACTTTTTCGTTATTGATTTACATATTTATTTTTGTTAGTTTAATTTTTGTGACAATGAGTTTTCATTTTATTTTCACAATAGATTTAGACTTTTGACATAAATTTATTTTATTTAGTTAAAAAATTATCTTAATTTTCCATTATATTGTGATAATTTTATATTTTTGTATGTTTTAATTTATTTAAATTATTACTAATATTTTTTATTTTTTTGTGTTTAATGAAAAACGGTGATATAGACTAATCAGATTGAGTATATATTTCATATGTGAACGCTCTCATTGGCCTAAGACATCAACACGGACCACAACTAATATATTTTAAGTTAGCAGTTCAGATTTTAATTGTTTGTCGTGATTAAAATTTTAAAATAATTTAATTATAGTTTTAAATACAGTTTTTAATAATTTTGAACAATATATATGATTTTTCTTTCATAATCTATTTATATTTTAATTTGTCTTTTAATTGATAATAGAAAAATACGATCTATTTTTAAAACTTTTTTTATTAATAGCTAACTTAAAATTTGGAAACTTTCCTAATAACAACAAAAACAAAATTAATTAAAATTTAAAAAATTTTCTTATAACAATTAAAACAAATTAATTAATTTTAATATACAATATATAATTAACTAAAAATAATGATGATATGTACCAATAGAATTGAATCTTTAAATCCTATGTGGACACTCTTAGAGATATTTAACATCAACTTTTATTAGTAATAGATATAATGATTTAAAAAACTAATTGCTTCCCGGTCATGTTAACCCAAAGTTAAAAGAAAAGTCTGATTTCCTTTTGGTAGCTCTAATAATCTCTAGGCCAATTGAACAAATAAAATATAGCCCACATCCCCATTAACAAATAAATATATGGCTCCATTTAGCCTATTTGGTTGGTGTAATAGATTTTTCGATAATCAAATCAACTAATACTATCAAGAAAAAAAACTCATAAATAGATTAAAAAAAACAAATAACGATGTCCAGAATCCAAAAAAAAAACAAAAAAACAAAAAAAAAATTATTATAATCGACCAGATTATTATCATCTCTAAATATAGTAGCCATACTGATAACTAAATGTTATTGTCTCTCATTACACTACGAAGACTTCTTACTTCTACAAATGGAGGGTCCAATAAAACTTGCAAACATTTGAAAGTGGTTTCTACTCTCCGATAACCATTCCTTCGAACAATCGATACAAACCTCATTATACAGATAGCGAGTTGCTGATTGCACGACGACCAAGCTTCGAGAAAGTCCTCCGAATATTCATTTTTCAAAAGTACTGGAACTCACGAGCCACTGTTACCATTGTAATAGATAAAACGCTCATTTCCACACAAGAATCTTAAATGGATTATATCAACATGCACTAATAAAGTTAGAAAAATATACCGTTCATCCACAAGTTCAAAAGTTATGTATGTTCGCTACAAAAACCAAGCTCATGAACTCCTCTAAAATTCCCAACATTAACAACTCGACCAATTACGTCTGACATACAAACACTATATGAGTAATTTAGATTAGCCAAACAAAACTAAACACAACCAATTGAACTCACCAATACAGACATTGGGATCCATTATGTCCATCTTTAATGGCTTCGATATCCACGAAAGAAAAATGGCTGGTAATTTCTGCGGGAGGAGTCTTAACAAATACTGTACGTGGCAGACAATGATCATAAAATTGTGCATACTTGGTCAAAATTTTCTGCAAACAGGTATTAGTTCGAAATCACACAACAGAATCCAATCATCCTCACGAATCTCTGATACGAATATAGACGCTATATCTTCGCATAATACTACATGGATTTTATCACCCTACAAGATCACGACCATGAATATTTTTTTTTATCGATCACCTACAGTTAACCACATAAAAATATAGATTAAACATTTTCAATAAATCTCTATGATAGTGTGGGGGTACATACCTTCTGTTTAGCTCAAACTTCATGTCACTCCATCTGGTGATTTGTGGATATCTGAGCTTTCTCTTCTCAGCCACTTCTCTGTCCCACCAAGCTAATGCATGATCAGTGAGAGTAGCTACAACAAGGGCAATCTTCTTAGGCTCTGTATAGGCATAGTACTCAAACAGGTGCTCCATCCTTCTCTCCCACTCCAAGTAAGCAGCAGGGTCTAGTTTTCCAGAAAAAGTTGGTGTAGAAGCTTTACTTCTGGTGGTAGATGCCTATCTTCATTATATGGCCTGTTTCTCTCATTGTTTCTTCTATTTAAAATCTCTTGAGGAGCTTGTGGTAGATATGGTGCTGGCGCTGGTGGTGGTACATCAGGAGGATCTCCTACACGATTTGCATTAGGAGGGACTCCAGGGAAGTTTCTTCTTGGCAAGATAGGAGGGGGCCCTTCAGGATTTTCCAATCTTTGCGTCCTAGCATTGGTATCTTCTCTTAAGGTGTTGATGCTTTCATTTCTAGTGTTGAACTGGCCTTGGAACGTGTTCATCATTGTCATGATGGTTTGTAGAGGGTCTGCTGGTGGTATATCTCCCATGATACCTTGTAAAATTCAAGCAAACAAATCAGAGATATGTTTAAATGATAGCAAAATAGAAGAATAAGTAATTAAGCAGTTTTTGACCAGTTGAGGGAAAATAGTTTTAATAATTAACAAATGATCTGTTAATTTAAGGAAATATTTTTTGTTGTTTTTAAGAGTTTAATAAAGCAGAATCAAAACAAAAAAATAGTTTTTTGGGTTTTTATGAAGTTTATAAAATTCGAGCAAAATAATTCAGCAAAAGAACAATTTTTATGGGTTTTTGGTTTATAAAATGAAATAACTTGAACAAGATGAATTGAAATAGCAAAAGCAAAAATAAAAGATGTGAATACACCTGGATAGGAGCTTTTAGCTCTGATACCAATGATACAATACTTGAATTGGGGTTCAAGTAAGGCCTCTTTGAATCTTTGCTTCTAGCTTAAAGGGGTGGAGGGAAGACTTAAATGATTAAAAGTCAGGTTGAAGCTTGATGACCACAAACTCCAGAGGTTAGACTCTTCTAGCTCAAGGGCCAATCCTCATAAGAGCTTAGGAGATTCTACACGAAATTCTTCAAGCTCGATTCCACAAACACAAGAAGAGAATTCGCAGGAACAGATTTGATTCAAAAGATAGACTTTTCTTTGAAACAAAATGATACTTTGATTGATTATAACTTGCTGAATTGAAAGTACAATGTAGATGAGCTTTTATATTGCTCAGAAAGTATGAAATAAACGGTCACTAAAGTAAAAGAAAGCATGAAATATGAGATTTGTTCTTGGCTCCATTTTCCTAGCCATTAGGCTTTAATGTGCTTGGTCTTGACTTTGGCACTGAATGTGGGATTGGGGAATGATCTTTGGCTCATCTTAAGTGTGATGAATCTTCTAAGACTTATGGACGGCTGAGATTGAAAGATATTGATGGGTCTTGATCCTTAGTTCTCCTTTGATATGAATGATGATCTTCTTTTAAGAAAAGCTCTTCTTTGGGGTATTCTCCTTTGACTTCTGATAAAAGAGGACGGCTGATGACTTATTCTGGTGTGGTAGGGCTTGTGTAAGCTTCAGTGGACGTAGAGAGGGTCGAATATAATGTCTTAGCTAGACATATATTCATAGTTTCCTTATATGACTTGGCAGATGCATATCTTGGCTGGTTTGGTGGTTTTAGCGGATTGAATGGATCTTCTTGGTTAAATGTTGGCTTGAATTGAACCAAGGACGGTTTGTGGAACTCCTTAGCTTCAGCAGATGATGAAAGTGGGTCGAATAATATGTTAGTATAACATATATACGAACTTTCCTTAAACGGCTCATTTGATGTCTTCTTTGGTTTAAGGCTGATTTTTTTGATTCTGAATTGATTATGACTTGGTTTAGCTTGGTTAAGGCGTGCTCCTGGCCTTAAAGAATGATGTCGTTTTGTTATAAGGTCCTTAGCTCCTCTCAGCTCAGCTACAAGTCCTCCTTTCTTCTCAGTTTCAAGCTTAGCTCCATCTTCTTTAGCTCCAAAGTTCCTCTTTTTATGAAATCCTGGTGTATAGGCAATGAGGATTGTATCAGTTCATCTCATTGTTATCGTTTTCTTAACGAATATCAAGAATCCTCGTTTGAACGGTCATTCTTTGGAATCAACGATCATTGAGTTCTCGTTGAACGGTTACTCTTCATAAATCAACGATCTTCTAGTTTATCCAGCTTGACGCTGCATCAGTTTGGTATCAGAGCAAGCACGTTCCTGTCTAAAATTGTTTTTTGACACACGAAACTTTTCATGGCAGCGAACAGTTTTATCTTTCCCGTAACAACAAATCGTCGAAGCAGTTGTAATCAACCCCACGTGCGTGAGCTCTCGTGACTAGTTTCTTCTCATCTTTCGGTCTTCAAATTCTGGATATTGTGGTGGCCCATCAATAATTTGGGGTCTTAAAATAATAAATTATCATCAATTGCATAAAAGCATTTTGATCGTTATCAACAACTTAAAGATAAAATCTTCTTCTTTTTTGTCGGAAAGATAAAATCTTAATATGATAATTTAACACGATTTAAGAAGTATTTGACTATATATAGACATCTGCTTCATATCTATGTTTTCCGCAAATGTAATATCTAGGAGATAATCTAATGAAACTATTACATATTTTTTATAACATCTTTTCTCTATACTATTTATTGTTAAACGGTGCATACAAATAGTTTAACAGTCATAAATCATAACAGCGCATAATTTTTTTAAAACATACACAAATCATCAAATTTTATAAAACTTCTTATAAAGATTATAATATCAGCAATCTGGTTTCTTTTCTTATTAACATAATAATAACAAAATGAAAACTTACTAATCCAATAATGGATGTTGTGTATAAAAAAATCCAATTTCCACATTGTCTTCCTTCCTATTATGTAACATTTGTGAGCACCAAATTATCACTTTCATACAATTTACCACTACAGCTAATACCTATAAGTAAGCCCAATAAGTAAGCCTTTCGAAGGGCCCAATGATAATGGATTCTATCTGCCGACATCTAACGATCCACTAACGGAGATGTTATTGGGAGGCTCAACGACCGTTATCTAATAAATAAATAGTCATAGATTTTGATCCAACTATACCAATGGACTGGATCGCATTACAGAAATCGACGGATGAGATTGAATATAGAGTACACGCTCTTATTTTTGTTATTAGCCCCTTTTGGTCGGTCTGTCTCTCTCACAGTGTCTCTATCGTTCTCCAACTTCTTAGCCAGTAAAAGTTAGGGTTTTTGTGGGAGATTTCGAGACTCAACAATGGTGGAAGATCACAAGCACGAGGAATCGATCTTGGAGAAGATCGTTGAGAAAATCCATGGCCATGGTGACTCATCGTCTTCGTACGATTCCGATGACGACAAGAAGTCGACATCGTCCTTTAAATCGAAGATTTACCGACTTTTCGGAAGGGAGAAACCTGTTCATAAGGTTCTCGGTGGCGGAAAACGTATGGATCTATATCTCTCTCTACCTCTTTACACTGAACTCTGTTTTTGCTTGATTGAGTATCCTCTTTTTTCCGAGCTCTGTAGTGATTTTAGACTTCGGTTGAGTGATTTGAAGCTGAAAGTTATGTGGGTATTGTTGATTTTGATCAAAAACTCAACCTTTTAGACTTAATTTTCTGTAAAAGTCTTTAATCGAATGTGAGATGATTATGTGGAAGTGTGGAACATATTTCACTTTGTGCGTTGGTTAAATCGAGTTTCACTGTTTGTATGTAGCTGCCGATATTTTCCTTTGGAGGAACAAGAAGGTATCTGGAGGAGTATTGGGTGCTGTAACCGCGTGCTGGATCTTGTTCGAGTTAATCGAATACCATCTCCTCACTTTTCTCTGCCACTTCTCGATTCTTGTTCTTGCGGCATTGTTCTTGTGGTCTAACGCTTGTACCTTCATCCACAAGTAAGTCTTCAAGAACATCTCGAGTATGACACATAATAACGCTGCATCAACGGCCTGATTAACTGATTCTACGTTTTCAGGGCAAGTCCTCACATCCCGGAAGTACACATCCCCGAGGATCCTGTTCTCCAACTTGCTTCTGGGCTAAGGATTGAAGCTAACCGTGTATTTACCCTTCTTAGGAGTATCGCATCAGGAAGAGACCTCAAGAAATTTATCTTGGTATCTTTCCTGATATGATCTACTTTGATGCAAAACGATTTTTTTAATCCTTGTAAAAGCACTAACACTTGCTCGCTCATTGTCTGTAGGTAATCGCTGGCTTGTGGGTTTTGTCCATTATTGGCAGCTGCTGCAACTTCTTGACATTGTTCTATACTGGTAACATTTCATACGCCTTATACTCCATTGAATCGAGTAACTCACAGAAATCGAAACTTTGCAATTGTTTGAGTCACTTATCCTCTAATTGTTTACAGCTACTGTGCTTCTCTTCACCGTTCCTGTTCTTTACGAAAAGTACGAGGACAAAGTAGATGCCGTTGGCGAGAAGGCGATGAGGGAGATCAAGAAGCATTACGCAGTGCTTGATGAGAAGGTTTTGAGTAAGGTCATGAGCAAGATTCCAAGAGGAGCTCTGAACAAAAAGAAGGATTAACAAATGTGACTCTTCGTACTGATGGTTCGAAATATGTTTCGTTAGAAGCTGTTGGTTGATAAACCCTTTGGTTTTTTGTTATTATGGTCAGTATAAATTTGGGGTTTAACCATATTTTAGTGTGTAATAACTCAGATTAATGTGGAATATTGTTGTTGGTTAATATTATCCCTAGCTAATTTCTCATCTCCAGACTAAAGAACTATTGGGAAATTTGTAACAGCTCTCCCTGTTAATAAGATATTGCAATACAATTAGAGAAATGGGGGTAACTAAAATTATGAAATAGTTTTTTGATTTATATACATATACGTTAACTACGATAGATTTATCAAAAGTCAGGATGGCCGAGTGGTCCAAGGCGCCAGACTCAAGTTCTGGTCCTCGAAAGAGGGCGTGGGTTCAAACCCCACTTCTGACAATTTACTTTTACATTTTTTCAGATAATTTCGGTAGTACTTGTAGATTAGTAAGATGAAATTATTTTCAGTTTACAAATGCTAAAATTTCAATATTTTAGTACAAATTCTCACTGGATTGTGTATTAATTTGTCTTCTGATTTATATTAGTTGGATTGGATAATCAAAAGAAGAGCCGTTTTTCTATTTTTAAAAGCCTCAATCCGGTTAAAGAAAAAACAAAATTAAATTAGCGAGAACATCTTAAATGGGACTTGCAATTTATTTGATTAAACCGTATTCGTTTACCAGCTTTTCACTAATTACCGTAAAGGCGTAAACCATTTACCAACCCCCAGAACCAATCGTAACCCACTTATTTATTCAGAGTCTTTCTCCGGCGAAGAAGTCAACAACTCCGTCCCATCTGCAGCCAAATCCGGTGCTGTTCCGGTGCCATTATACTGCTGAATCACCAAAACCGATGCTCTCGTCGATGATTCCGGCGCGATTAACAAGCTTCCGACAGGTCCGAGCTCTGGGCATTCGCTGTTTTCCCGGAGAGCCAATGCGATTTCGCCACCTGGCATTCGACCCACCAAGAACAGATTGCTCCGCCGCACTTCCTCAATCGCCGATCTAACATTCACGGCGGGGTTCTCCACTCGTTTCTCCACGAGCTTGATCGATTCATCCACAGACGACTTTTTCCTGATGTCAGACATGACCTCCTCATCCGATTTTTGGGTTTTCCCGGTCTGATTCTCGTTGCTGTGATTCACCTCGACACGAGTAATCTCTCCGGTTCTCTCCGCCGAGACCAAAAATCGGAAAACCGTCAAGGTGATTCCCGGATGCTCCGCCATGCGTAATCCGTACGCCAAAGCTTCGCGATCGTCACGACCGCCGAAGAACAAAGCCACGACGGAGTAAGAAACGTCCTGAGCCGAGACTTGGCTGGAACCACCGAGTCCACGGTCAACGAATATCCCAACGGAGCAAGGAGCGTCAACCAAAACCCTCCGATTAACCCACCGGTAATCTCCGCGCGTCGTCTCTAGCGACCCGTCGAGCTGCTGGTGCTTGTGGAACGGCAGAATCACGATCGCTGCTCGTTTCCTCGACGCGGTCGTACAGATGTCTTCGTGAATATCAGACATTGAGGAGATCGCTGTCATTGGTCGGACATTGACTCTGCTCAACTGCTGAAAAGCCTGGAAAGCAACCACGACTTGATCTGCGTCTGCTCCTCTTCTGTTCCAAAACGGCATCCCGTTCTTGCGAACTTTGTGAACCATTAGAATAGCTGAGGACCTCTCTGATAGTTCTCTCAAGTGCAGAGCGTAGACGCAGAGCCCTTCGCCTTTCTCGATGCCTCTTGATGCTTCGAGGAGATTTATCATCGAAGGAACGCTTCCTGCTCCGTGGAAACACGTGAGGATCCTGAGCTGTGTGTTTGTGCTGTCTCTCTCCACCGTCTTGTGTTTATATTCTCCTTCCTTCTTCGCTCTTCTCGCAGGTTTGTACACTGCCATCACGATTGGCGTGGTGATGAATGTTGTGAAGAGAGCCATTAGAACCATTATGGAAAATGTCTGATCATTCAGAACCTGAGGAAGCCAAAACAGAGAGAGGTTACATATTATTGTGTGCAAATGTTTAAGAGACTCGGCTAAAAAAGTTTGTACCTTTCGATCTTTCCCGATGTTGAGGACGATGAGCTCGACCAATCCTTTAGTGTTCATGAGGAACCCCAGTGCTAAGGCTTCTCGCATAGGTATCTTGAAGGCGAGGGAAACACCGAGAGTGCCAACAATCTTACCAAAACAAGCCGTGACTGTGACTAAAACCAGAAGACCCCAAGACTGAGCTCCTTGGATCGTGGCGACGTTAGTTTTCAGACCACTCGCCACAAAGTAAAGCGGCAAGAAGAGACCGGATACAAGATCCTCCACCTTCTCGACAAGTGCACCAGCGAAAGGTCCTTCCTTTGGGATCAAAACACCAACCACGAAAGCACCAAACATGGAGTGGATTCCAATGGCGTCGGTTATGAATCCGCAAACAAGAACGCCAGCTAACGTGGCGCAGATGTAGGTTTCCTCGATGGGTTCGCCCTCATGGCACCTCCGGGAAATCCATGTAAAGATCGGCGGGATGATGAAAGCAGCAGCGATGACAAAAGCGCACCCTGAAAGGAAAACCCAAAGAGAGACGAGAGGGGAGGTATCGGATCCGGAGAGAGCAATGGCTAGAGCAAGGAGAATCCAAGCTGCCACGTCGTTAACCGCAGCTGCAGACATGGCGAGCCGTCCAATCTCAGTGGTTAGAAGCTTGAGCTCAGCCAAGATACGGGCCAACACAGGGAACGCGGTGATGGAAAGCGCCACACCCATGAAGATGAGAAACGCGACGCTGTCTACTCCTTTGGAGATTGTGGCTCTGAGAACGAACGAAGTACCAATGCCAAGAGCGAACGGGAGGGAGATTCCGGCCAAGGCAATCCCCAAAGCCTTCTTCCCGGTGTGTCGAAGGGATTTGGTATCAATCTCTAAACCGGCGAGGAAAAGGAAGAAGAGAAGGCCGAGATTAGCCAGAGTTTCTAGAACAGTCAGGCTCTTCTTTGGGAACACAGCGTCCAGAAAAGCCTTGGAACGGCCGAGGAGAGACGGTCCAAGCATAATCCCACCCTGCAAAAATCAACGATTAAATCATTCAATTCTCCAGGAAAGAAAAAAGCGGCATTGATCAAGACCGCACAGAGATATACAAGGAGAACTTACAATGACTTCTGCAATAACACGGGGCTGTCTCAGGGGTCTTAAAAGGTAAGCAAGAACACGAGTGAGAACCACGACGATGACTATCTGCAGAATCGCGAGAGGTAACGCGAAGTCTATCGGGTTATCTCCTTGGAAAACTCCATTAGAGGCTGCTTTCATTGGAGCTGGACAAGCGTGTCCAGTTGAAGTATTTGTAGCCATTTTTTGCAGCTTGATTCCAGGAGAAAGAGAGAATCTAATAAAAAAAATGAAGCTTTTGATGATCTTAATATATACTTCTACACAAGAGACTACGTAATAGAATATCGAATATTTTGGATAAATTTCAAATCCAAATTAAGAATCATATCCAAATCACAGTCAAAGTTCTTATCATCCTAACACAAAAGGAATGTTCAAGTTCTTATCAATCAGATATTTTCCAGAGAGGATTCCACCAGACACATTCATGCATATACAGTTGCACCCGAAACGAAGGAGAGCGGGAAAATTTGATTCCCCAAATTACAGAACAAAGCAAAACAGAATCACGATCGCGAGAAACCTAGAAATTTCCGGAAGAACTAAGTAGTCGGTCAAATAGCATTTAATAAACCCTAGGAATCAACACATTGTGAAAAAAAAAAAAATCGACGAGAGAGTACCTGAAGAATTCGAGTGATTCTGATCTCAAAATTCACACGGCCACACACACTAAACGGAGGGAGAACTTGTTACGCGTCGAAATTAGCCGACATGTAAAGATCGTCGAAAGGATGATTCGCAGGCGAAGAAGAAGACGACAAAAACTATGAAAGAGAAGAGAAGTTGGATCGATTTGACTTGTGAAGCTCTCTCTATGGACTGACTTTAAATAAAGAAAAGAGAGAAGAAGAGTGTTTACACCATCTATCTCTTAAGTCATCCAATTTTCATGATTCTCTCTCTCTCTTATCAGATTTTTAATATCAAGAATCTTAATAATGCTTAGTCACTCCTTTTTTTAATAGTTACCTGTAATTGTGCCTATATATAATGATGATTTTCGTTTTTAATTGTTAGTAATCCCGATTTTGTTTATTTGGTTTTGTGTATTAAAAATAAAAAATTAGCCTAAGAAGTAGGCAACAAAAAGGAAAAAAGGGAATCTGGAAAAAGTCAGATTTTGTTTCTGACTGAAATTTATAATCTTATTTTGATCCAACAGTATCATACCGAGTTATGGCTTAGATTCATACCGGATCATCATCATCATCCATTAGTTTATATAATTTGAAGCAATCATAAATTTGTATGTTATCTATTACAGCCGAAAGAGGTCATAATTATTATATATACTTTTAATGTCAAGGATGCAATTTTTTAACAACAAAAAAAAATGTCAATGATGCAATGCAGAATCTATGTATATATGAACTGAACAAGTGATATTATTCATACTATTTTACTAGGTCAATAAAAGCATAACAACATGATCATTAATATTGTTTGTGATGCGTATGCCTCGGAGAATATGGTGCCATGGTCATGGAGGTTTGGGTGAATCTACACTCTAGACTAGAGGAATAAAATTGAATCCTCGAATATTCTTGTTTAAATTCTTTTTTATTTTTACTTTTTTTTTTGAAAAAAAGGGTTAATTTGTGGAAAAACCACATTACACCATAAAATAAACAATATAACTATACTAATTTTATAATTAATTTAATAACTAAAAACTTTAAAATTTGTCTATTTTACTCTTTAAGTAAAATTTATAAATACATTATTATAATATATTATATCGATTTATATTATTATACTATATTATATATAAAATATTTATTTCTTATGAATAATATAGGAGAGAAGACAAAATGTAAAATGACGAGTGATGGTAGGGGAATGACGAGTGATGGTAGAGGAGAAGACGGACAAAGAAAAAGGGAAAAGAAGTAACAAAAAGAGAAAAATAGACTAGAATGAAAAAAAAAAAAAATAGAAAGAAAAAGAAAAAAATAAAAAAAGGATAATTTTATACATATAAAATATTATATCCATTGATTTTTATGGTTAATTTTTCTATTTTTTTAGTTTAATATGGTCAAAAAACCACAACTCTTGGGATAAAGTGCAATACTAGTTAAGCCAAAGTCAAATATAACAACAGTTTTAACGCTGCCGTCACATGTTCATGAATACTTATCTATGCCTCTTGCTGTTAATAAATATATACAGTTGGCATTTATGTAAACTTATCGAGAAAGAAAAAAGAAAACAAACAAATATCCTCCCATTTGAATATGATTTATATATACTTTATGCCGCCTATTACCTGCGATTTTTTTAATAAAAAAGTTTAAATGTGTGTTTGCATTTACATGGCTTTGATTCATATATACTGTATAGTACCGGATTATGGCTTTGATTCATATCGTATCATCTATTAGTTATAGTTGAAGTAATTATGTTACCTTTTGTAGTCATTACAATTTTTTTAAAATATTCTATTAATATATAATTTCAATTGTGCAATAAGTGATGTTATCCATATTTTACTATGTCAAATGAGTTTCATAATAGAGGTGATGTGCATGACTACGAGGTTTGGGTGAACCTACACTCTAAGACACAATGTGAATTGAATCCTCCAATATTCTTGTTAAATTTTTTTTTTTTCATGATATCACGTCAAAAACACAAACCATAATTCTTTCGATAATGTGCTGAACACTTCCACTAGACAAGCCAAAGTCAAATACTGAAATACAGAACATTCGGATTATATCTAAATTAAACATGTGCAGTAATCTAATAATTCATGATTTGGACTCTGTCTCCGACTCTCCAACTAATTAGTGAATTGAACTTATGGTTTTGAAACTTTCCTGACAATGTAGTCTTGTGATTCTTCTTACCCAATGAACCATGCAGAGTTTGAAATCGGATGGTAAAACATCTATGAAAACAAATACATAGTACTATGCTTTTTTATAGTTTTTTATTACATATATTTAAGTACTAATATGTTAATATAGGTTTTTTTAGCTCTTCAATATGGTAAATCACAAATATTAGTTGAATAATCTCCTTCTAAATTATAGGTATACATATAGTTTACCTTTTATCTCCAAAAAAAATCTGCAATCACTAATTACACTACTTATTTATCTTTGCGCTGTGGCCGACACTACGAAGTTTGTTAATGGGCTCTCTTTTACCCCATTATTAATGACCTCTCAAAGCCCATTAGGTAGCTAATAAATCCTGCTAAGGGATTTGGGTTCACTAAATTCTAAAACAACATTGCCGCAGATGCAAGTGGGGAAACTCCACAGGCCATTTTCTTTGTTTCTTTACCAAACTTTATTCAGTTGACTCGCACGTGCCATATGTAGACCATTTTTTTGGAGTCGTACGTGGTACAAAAAAAGGGTGTGTTCGATACAAAACACACACAAGCCAACAACACCAAGTTACGGTACTGTCGGAATATTACAGCATCCCAAGATCCCAGATCTTTTCATGTCAATTTATTTATCTTATGCGGGTGACGCCAATAATCGTGACAGTGATGTGACTCAAACAAACTGATTGTAGCCATCAAAGAAAAGATTATGAAACCCCACATCAAAGTATCCAAAGGTCTAAAGCTACAGGTGAAACAAATTCACAAGACAATTTGAGAAACTATGGAAGAGGGAAAAGGTAATTTTTGATTGAACTAAAGAGAAAAAGCAACAAAAAAAAAAGACTTTTTTCCCCTGAAAAGATGGAAAGTAAAGTAAGAGGAGAGGAAGAAGAAGATGGAGAGAGACAGAAAGTGGAGAGATTGGTGGAAAAGTTGAAGAGACATATTAATAATAGAAATAATAAGGGACCTTCAACTCCGGCGCATGTTAGCTTCTCCCCTAACCTTTCTTCTAAATTCTCACCATCAATCGTTTCCTCAAGAAAGCTCGTAGCTGCTTTTTGGGAGTTTCATCACTACTACGAACATCACTCCTTCTCTTTTGCTGCTGCTAAAATGCACCGCGGCGGAAACGGTTTCGCCGGAACTAATAACCGCCGACAGCGCCACGGCAAGGCGGTGGTCAAGGAGAATGGTCTCGACCTCTCTCAATTCCTCCGAGATCCCTCTCCTGATCATCATCAGGTCTATCACTCTCTCTCTCTCTCTCTCTCTAGGATTTTACCCTTTTTCTGGGGGTTTTCAGATTCATTAGCTCTGAAGCTTGAATCAATCGGTTTAATCATTACGGGTAGTGTTAATGTTTGGATTTTGAAACGTAAGAACTGCTGCTGATTTTTCATTTTTATGTTCTGGGTTTATACTAGTTTTACTCTGTTCTTGGCTTTCTAGCTCAAGTAATTAATGGCATTTACAGATTCAAAGTTACAGTTTGTTAAGTTTCTATAGGTTTTAAACTTTGAGCTGTTAAGCTAGATTGATTCTGATCAGCTCATTATAATAACACCTGCAGGCTGAAGTTAGTAAACAAGTGATTTTGGATGAAACTCTCTAAGTAGTTATGATATTGATGTTTTGGGATTTGTGTTTGGATCCCACTGTTCTGAAATGCTCCTACGTTGTTGTCACAGCCAGAGAGCGCGGGAAGTCTAAGGAGACAGATCGGTCAAATGCTAATGAAGCATCATCAATCAATCGAAAGAAACAACCACGCTCTTCAGCCTGTATCTCCTGCTAGTTACGGAAGCTCCCTCGAGGTTTGTCTCAGCCTTAATGGAAACTGCACCACAGTATTTGATTATGTGTTTTGTATTCACACATGGATTACGGTTTTCAGGTTGCCACATACAACAAAGCAGTAACTCCAAGTAGTTCACTGGAGTTCCGAGGGAGAACGTCTAGAGAACCTAACTACAATCTCAAGACATCAACGGAACTTCTCAAAGTATTGAACCGTATATGGAGCCTGGAGGAGCAACACGCCGCTAATATCTCCTTGATCAAAGCTCTGAAGACCGAGCTGGCTCATTCCCGCGTTCGAATCAAGGAGCTACTTAGGTACCAGCAAGCCGATAGGCAGGAGCTGGACGGTGTTGTGAAGCAACTCGCTGAGGAAAAGCTGTCGAGGAATCATAAGGAAGTGGAGCGGATAAGCTCTGCTGCGAGGAAAGAGTTTGAAGATGAGCGGAGACTTCGAAAACGTTCCGAGAGTTTGCAGAGGAAACTGGCAAGAGAGCTCTCGGAAGTCAAGTCTTCGCTGTCTCACTGTGTCGAAGAGCTTGAGAGAGGGGCCAAATCAAAGAAGACGATGGAGTTGCTCTGCGATGAGTTTGCGAGAGGGGTCAAGGGTTACGAAGAGGAAGTTCGCGGTTTAAAACAGAAGAACAATCTCGGTCGTGCTGAAGGAGATCAAATGGTCCTTCATATCGCGGAATCTTGGCTTGACGAAAGGATGCAGATGAGGTTAGAAGAAGGTGGAGGAGATACATTGAATGGTAACAGAAGCAGCTCGGTGTTGGATAGACTAGAGGTGGAGATAGAGACGTTCCTTGAGGCGAAAAACCGCCGGAGTTCGCTTGAATCAGTCCCGTTTAACGCCTTGAGTGCACCGCCACGGGATGTAGAATGCGAGGAAGACTCAGCGGGAAGCGATTCGAATTGCTTCGAGCTCAAGAAACCTGTAGACGACACTGTGAAACCAACAAACCAACCGAACAAAGACGGTTTCTTGTGTGACGAAAAGCCGAAAGGGACGTCGAGTTTTCAAGTGAAGTTTGAGGATCAAATGGCGTGGGCAATGTCGAGTAACGGAAAGAAGAAAACACGAGCCATCGAAGAAGAAGGAGATGTAGAGCCTGCAAGTGTAAACAGCAGCACTAAGAAACCAGAGGATGAAATCGATCAGTGTGCTAGTAAAAACAAGAATGATGTGATGGGGGAGATGATTCGGACACACAGAAGGTTATTGTCTGAGACTCGTGAGATTGATGAAGCTTCTTGCAGTCACCCATCTTCTCGGAGACAAGCGAGTCCAATTCGACAATGGACTTCGAGAACCGTAACACCTGATCTTCTTGGCTCCTCTGAGTCGTCTGTGAATAGAGTTTCTGCTACTGGGATTGCTCAAGGAGACAAAGATAATACTTTGAAAACTAAACTCGCAAAGAGTTCAAAGTCGCGGCTTCGGCTGTTCAAAGGCTAATAAAACCAAAGTGAACTGGTCGGAAAAAAAAAAAGAAAAAGGGAAGTTCTTGTCGGATACTACTACACACAGAATCCTAAGTTTCTTTCATATTCATTCTCTGTAAATCGGACGCATCTGTAGATTTTTGTATATCGTTTTCATCCTACAAAGTTTTGGATTATTGAAGACCTTTTATGTAAGCAAAGCAAAGCTTATTAGAGCATTTGGTGAGAAACTCGTATGAATCTCTCACCAATTTAATAACATTAATTTTAATATCAGTTAATTATATTTACTTGTTTTAAATTAAAAAAAAAAATTTTAACCAATGATATAGAGAGAATACATTAGATAAGTCTCTCATAATCTTTCAAGTGAGAGATTCTCTCCGATCTTTCTCTTCTCATTGTTCAATTTTATTAATTTTTAGATATTAGAGACTTGATAAGAGACCCCCAATGGAAATGGTTTTATGTTTTGTTTATTACAAGAGGGTTGGTCAGTCATCTCGGTCAGAAAACTCTGAAACGCGCGTTTAATACTTAAATCACGATTCGAATCTTATACAGTCATGGCGTTTTTCAATTTGGGCCCACTAACATATCTAAACTTAAGCCCACCAACATATACCTTAAACTTTAAAATAAAGAAATATACACTTTATTTTTTGCTTATACTATGGTGTTGAATGATATACAGCTTTTTCACGTTTTCACGTTTTGAAAACGTGATTCCGCTGAAAACATACCATTCACAACAACACGCACGGAATGATAAAAATAAAAAATTAACAAGTGCTTTTCAAAATTATCCTGCACGTTTTATATTTATAACTAGTTTACACAAAATTTCATTCATGTACTTAAGAACAGTTTTTTGGCGTTTCAAAGCAATTAAATTTTTTGTTAGTCATTTTTACCCTAAAATAAATCCAAATTTTTTTTTCATTATAATAAATTAATAATTAGTTTTGCCTCCATATATTAGCGCCGGATTACATCCCGCCATCTTTCTACTTAAGTTATCAATAACCTAGCTATAGACATATATATATTTGTGATGGATGGAAAATCAATTATCATCATATCTTGTGGCAGTCAACTGAGAAGGTAATTTTTTCGTTTTTGTTTCTATTAGATTTGCTATTATGATGGCATGTGCACCTCAATAGCTACGAATTATGGACTTAGGGTTAGAGTAATGAAACACTTAGTTGAATTCAAACTGTCATATTAACTATTCTCGATCTATGAAACTGCAGATTTCCAATTGCATCATGAGTTCGTCTGATGAGTCAGATTCACAAGTTCGTGGCTATGGTGATGTAAGTATATTTCTTAACTTGCTCTTTTAAGACATCGATAATTATTTTATTGCCTTCAAAGTAGTTGATGAAAATCATACTTAGGAATAATAGTTGATAAAAAATTTAGTCAGGAACAAATTGCTCAACAAACATGCTTCGCATCTTTCTTGAGATTGTATTACGAGAACAGAGACGAGAGAAATACGCGAATAGAATACTTGGCAAAGAAGGTAAACAGATTTTGATACGGGAATTCAAAGCACGAGCTGGCTATGAATTTACTTGGAACAAGTTTAAGAAGAAGTATGACTACGAACGTACCCGATTTACGACCTACAACAAGTTGCGAAATCGAATGGGAGTGAGAGTCATTCCCAACACTGGGGAGATCGATATGCCGGAAGATTGGTGGAAGGAACGAAAGCTGGTCATAATATTTTTATCAATATTGTTGTATGAAATTGACGTTTATATATTTCTAGAAAGCTTATTCATTAATTATAATCATCAGGACACTCCTAAATCACAAGCAATCAAGAAGAAACCACTACAGTGCATGGAGCTACTGCATCAAGTTTTTGGACGACGTAGAGTTGATACGGAACTTGCATTTTCACCTGCCTTAAACCGACAGAGACCGCAAGCTACTGTAGTTGTAGATGATGACGATTCTGGTGATGAAACAGAGCCACCAACCCAAGAAGTTGAAAATGATGAGCTGCCAGATTCTCTTGAAAATGATGATGGTTTCCAGAATCCACATCAAGTTGATGCTTCCCAACTTGCAAGAAGTGATAGAAGAATTGTTAGGAACCATCGTAAGCGTACTAGAGATCCAACTCCTCGACGAACTGAGATTGAGAAGTGTATAAGACGCTTGGAAGAAACAAACACGCGGCGGAATACCATACCCCTTGTTCAAGAGGCAACTCATGCCCTTGTAGATGCGTTTACGGAGATTGGGTTGTCTACTGGAAACACATTTTTTGTTGCTGCACTGCGCCTTCTCGGTAACTCTACTCCAGCAACGCAATTCTTGGCTTTGCCGAACAACCACTTGAAAATTGCAATGCTAGAGGGAATGACTGGATATAGTCGGAAAGGACACTGGATTGGTCTTCTAAGAAGCATCCCTGGTGGAGATAATGGTTCTAGTTCACGTGTAACTACAAGTGGAATTGTGGATCCTTACCGTGGATATCCAAATGGGACAACAAATGCTCTTGGCATGCATTTTGGTATGAACTCGAATTCTGAAGAAAGGGCTGAAGAAAGAGCTGATACAAACCAAAGAAATAGACATGAAACTACTGCACCAGTGTTAGGTGGATTTACAAGTCTGCTAAACCATGGGATGAGCAGTAGCTCTTTAGACTTTTAGCAAGACAAGACGATAGCTTTAAAGTGCGTTCGTTTATGGGTTTTCTTGTTTGGTTTTTGAAGATTTTTAGCATTTTATTTTTAATTTGGTATGACAATTTATGCTATTATATCACTATTGTTCTTGTTCTTTAACTAGCACTCTTTATTTATAAAATCTTTTCTTTACTTTCATACACTCAATGTTAGATTAATTGTTTAGTTCTCTAAGTTCATTATTGACTTTTGCAGGAACATCGAAGTAATGAGTTGTGGGCACGTGGATTAGATGCATTAACAGATAATGAAATTGAAGAACTGTTTGCATTAGAGAATCAAAAACTTGTTGGTTTGATTCTACAGCCGTTGCTCCAATACTACATGCGGTATTATAGAAGACGACATATGGCAACTGAATGGGGAGTTGGATGGATGTATTTAAAAGACAAAATCAGGAACAGTCCAACAGCTTGTCACACTCTTCTCAGGATGCATCTGCAAACATTCAGGAGGCTGTGTAAGATTCTTAAGGACAGATATGTGCTACAAAATATGAAGAACATGAAGGTACAAGAGAGTGTTGCAATTTTCATGTATATATGTGCACACAACGAAAAGCAACGAGTCATTGCAGAATTATTTGGTCATTCGCACGAGACAATCACTCGTAAGTTTCATGAAGTTCTTGATGCATGTGAGAAACTTGATGGTGATCTATTAAGCGAAAGGAGTCCTCAGGAACTTAGCGCTGTACCACGTGGGCTACGAGAAAATGACAACTACTGGCCATATTTCAGAGATTTGATCGGGGCAATGGATGGTACACACATACCGGTTAGGGTGTCTGCAACGGAGAAATTAAATTTCTGGTGTCGACATGAATACACTAGTCTTAATGTCTTGGCGATTTGTGATCTTGATCTGCTTTTTACGTATGCATACATTGGAGTTCCAGGATCATCTCATGATGCTAATGTTCTGCAACTTGCCATGGATAATGATCCATGCTTTCCAGTCCCACCTATTGGAAAATACTACTTAGTAGATTCTGGATATGCTAACAAACCTGGATTTCTTGCTCCTTTCCGAGGACGTGTTACGAGATATCATCTCCGAGAGTTTCAAGATGGGGGACCTCCACGCAACGACAAAGAGTTGTTCAATCAGTGGCATTCATCTCTTCGTTGTGCTATTGAACGCACCTTCGGAGTTTGGAAAAGCAAATGGAGAATCTTGACAGATCATCCAAGGTATAACAAATCCATTCACAAGAAAATTGTTGCAGCTACGATGGGTTTACACAACTTTATACGGCGATCTCAAATTCCAGATCAAGATTTTGAAGAAGCGGGTAGATTTGATATCAATGGTCATGAAAACACAGGAAGAAGTGATACTAATGTTCATGAGCAAGAAGAGGACGTAAGTATGCAGACCGTTCGTCAACAGATTGCATCTCTGGAATATGCAAGCGTAGGAGTTTTTTAGTTTCAGAATATTTTCTCAATTTTTTTTTCATTTGTTTTAGTTGTTATATTAGATTTGTTTTTGTTCTGTTTGGGATGATTTGAGCTTTGATTATTCTTTTTTGGATTTATAGGACATAATTTGATAAATTGGTTTAAATTATCTTTTACTTTTACATTTAATGTTTAGTTTGGCAATTTAGTACTATTTATTTTATTATTCAGTTATTCAGCCAAAAACATACTATTCCAACATTCTATCATTGTGAAATTAATTTTTTTTTGTTATTCAACTGTTTTATAATTCCGTTCCTATGATTCCGCTATTTTATAATAGAAAATTAGAAATAAAGGATGTTTTTTGTACTCTCTTGTCCATCTACACCTTCTTAATTAACTCTTGTAACTTTATACCTTACAATAATCTAAATCCGATTATACCCTCTAATTTCTTAATTTTATTTCTAATATAATTACTAAAAAAATTAGCACATAATTTAACCAAAAAATCTTAAATTCAACACTATTTTTTAGAATTTCAAAATAAATAATCGATGCATGTTTTTCTTGATCAATAATAAATCTTTATTCATTGTTACCAATGATTTATATATATATATATACATCACATTAATTTACGTTGTATTTATTTATGATAAACAATTGTTTTTATAAATTCTCCTAGATTAATTTGTTGTAAAGCATACAACAAATTTAATAAACTCACCAGATTTATGTTAAATGTATCTAATATTTTTTAGTCTACACCATTAATTTTTGCATAAATCTAAAAGTATCACAAATAGAGAGTTTATTATAAAGATAACATAAAAAAATCAAAGAAAAAATCATGTTTTTAATTCCAAAACCCGCAGAAACCATGTTCTAAACTTTGCAGAATACGTACATTATGCAGAATGAATATTCTACGGAATCGCAGAATATATAGAAACTGCAGAAGACATGTTCTAAAACTTGCAGATCATAGGGAATTCGCAGAAGAAACCTTCTGAATTTTGCGGAACATATCAAAAAAAGTTTTTTTAAATATTGTTTGTTACGTTTTTAGAATAATAGATATTTCTTGTTTCCTTAAATAAGTTTTTTTTCTTTAAAAACGAAATTTAAAAATAAATTATATATTAAAATAT